TTTTTCCTGATGAATTGACAAGCTTTCCAAATTATTCAATGTTGGTAGAAAAACTTTTCTTTAAAAAAATAAATAAAAATTATCTGCACAAGTCATCATTAAAGTCTATCTGAATTTTTGTCGATAAATAATTTTGAACGTTTTTCTAGCTGTATTAAACCATTTGGAAGGCTTATCAAATCAAGACCTGTTTATAAGCTACATGTTACAGAAAAATAGCATGCTCCTATATATGCATGGTCAATATTTCTGATTACTGACCATTAGTGATGTCTCGAATGGTTCGCCGAACGGTTCGCGAACGGTTCGTCACGAACGGTTCACCACGGACTCATCATTGAGTAAACTTTGACCCTGTACCTCCCAGTCAGCAGACACATTCCAGCCAATCAGCAGCAGACCCTCCCTCCCAGACCCTGCCACCTCCTGGACAGCATCCATTTTACATTCATTGTGAAGCTGCATTCTTAGTGAGCTGTCCAGGAGGTGGGAGGCTCTGGGAGGGAGGGTCTGCTGCTGATTGGCTGGAATGTGTCTGCTGACTGGGAGGTACAGGGTCAAAGTTTACTCAATGATGAGTCCGCAGCGAACCGTTCGCGAACCGTTTGACGAACAGTTCGGGACATCACTACTGACCATCATTTTCAGACTTGGTGTGTTTCATAGCCAGCTCTTCAGCTTTGCAAGAATTTGAGCTTGTGCACAAGATATTATTTAGAATATATTTGCTTTTCCTTAAATATAACTTTTTACCAATTTCTTATTTTGTTGGATTTAGACAGTCTAGAGCTAGAACATTCAGGATTAACGTTTTCCTTTTTTTTGGGCTACTCTTTATTTTTCTGTGCATAGGAGTACAAAAGGTTAAAACATTTAAACCTCTTTAGTTTAGAAAGACGTTGCCTGAGAGGGGATCTGATAACATTATACAAATATATTCGGGGCCAATACAAACTAATGTGTGGAAATCTATTCACAAACTGGACTTTACATAGGACACGAGGTCATGCGTTTAGACTGGAAGAAAGAAGATTTTGTCTAAGGCAAATAAAAGTTTTTTTAATGTAAAAACAATAAGGATGTAGAATTCTCTGCCTGAAGAAGTGGTTTTATCAGCGTCCATTCAGATGTTCAAACAGCAACTAGATGCAAACTTGCAAAAAACAGAATATTCAAGGATATCATTTTTCAATGTAGGGTAATAACTTCTTGATCCAAAGATAAATCTGACTGCTATTTTGGGGTCAAGAAGGGATTTTTTTTCCTAGTTTGTTGCAAAAGTGGAAGCACTTCAGACTAGGTTTTTTGTCTTGTTTTGGATCAACAGCAAAAAACATATGTGAGGAAGGCTGAACTTGATGGACGCAAGTCTCTTTTCAGCTATGTAACTATGTAACTATGTAACACACACTTGTGATGCCACAACAGCAGAAGCAAGCCTTTCAGTAGCAGACATAAGATAACATTAGCATGGCATTCAAGATAAGTGCACATTTTGTTTTAGATAATAAATCAGGCTAGTCAAATATGTTTAAATTATTGAATTAGCCAAAGATTATCAAGCCAAGAAGAGAATCTAGACATGCAGAATAGAAGACATAAAACTTAAATAGGTTAGTTAGACACAGTGCTATTGATTGAGAATTATATGATTATAGTGTTGTATTGTGTGAGTCAAAAGAACTGGAAGATTCGGATGTAATTCATTAAAGGCAAATTGTCCATCAAAAAAAAGAGACACAAAAATAAATTCATGCTTAGTAATAAAGAAAAGGCCATTGGGACCCAGATGCAGTGGATTAATAGAGTTCCCCCAGACCACAACCTTGTGTCCTAAAACTGGCTTAAGCAATCATCCATCAACACCACTGGTAGGGCAAAGTAACACACAGTAAACTGAAGCCTACGGGCCTCCTGGTAATCCTATGGTTATCTGACTTCAAAGTCATTGTTTGTTTTTCTTGTGGCCTTGAAACCCTTGACAAACACAATCTGAAACATTTTAAAATAGTTTCTGTGTTTTTTTTTTGGTTTACTCCTAATACATTAATATTGATGGCAATTTAAATGTCTAGGACTTTCCCCATGAGACTTCATATGCAATCATTCATGATGATCATATGGATAGAAAACATCCCCCAGAAACAGGTCCAGAGCCTTTTTTATATACCTACATTATTAACCAGATGCTGATGATCTTTGGCATAAATTGGACAATGTTTCCCGTATAGCTACATGCAAATAATTTATGTTGTATTTCTACATTAAGTGGAACTCTGCATCCTCTACGTCCATCAATGAAGTGGAGACAGTCTAGTTATAGTTATTTACTAAAGAGAGCATTGTTAAATTTTCAAAGTGAGTTCAAAGTGAATTTAAACATTAAGGCCACAATTGCCTTTGGCCATACTTTGCGTTATTTTCGCCATAAATGTTAAATTCATTTTGAACTCAATTTGAATTTCTGACAATTCTCATTTTAGTGAATAACCTTGTCTTTGTCCTATTAGAGAGACAAGTGCACTCTTGAATTTAAGTACAAATAGTAAGAACTAGTATATTCATGTACTGTAAAGAGTGAATAGTTAAATCTCTATACCCTACAAATAGGTCAGCAGCATAGAATATTAGCAATTCTACCAGTTCTTGAAGAGTAACATGAAAGCATTTTATGTTTTGCTAATAAAAACACATATTGGGTATATTAAGGCAGCCATATGCCGCTCAATTGCTACAATTTGTTGTAGTAAGCCGAATGTAATCCATTCAACTATTCATAATAAGAAAATGTATTTATTTCAACCAAATTTGTACGATTTATCTGCTCTTTGATTCTTCTTGGAATTTACCTGAAACTCCATAAAATGTGGCTGTTTCAACTATTCACAAACTACTTAGATGGAACTAAATTCAGTGAATTTGGTTTTAACTTGGTCATTTATGAATAATTTTCCCTGACGCAGACAATGGAGAACTGCACCCATCTCCCAACCCACTTAATCATTTTATGCTGAGTAACAATTCTTCAAAATATTTTTCCCATAGAAAAGTACAAATTGTATATAATGTCTGATGACAGCATATAAGGTACATTGTGTGCCAAATAGCAAATACACACATCTAAGGTCTATGGTACTGTAATATCACATTGTAGTTCCACTTATAGGTAGGTTGGATTTAGGGATCGCCATATCAGCATGTTTCCCTTTGTCGGGGATTGTTACTTTATTTTCCTTCACAGTCTCCACTTTTCCATAACCTGATACGTTACGACACCTCTTTAATAAACATCTTTATTAATACTGTTACATTGAGCATTGTTACATTAAGTAATGATCGAAAGGACAGATATAACCAACAGAATACATATTTAAACAAAGGTATAGAGAAATTCTATAAATAAATGTTATTCAAAAATAGTATAAAAATGAACCTACGAGATTCACAAAGAACATTAGTATCACCAATACTTTTATATTTTGTTCCTCAAGATATCATCTGTATGGGATCAGTCTAATTGTCATTATTAGGTGGTTGTGATAACAGTTCTTTGGTTATGGCCCAGCCCTCCTCCCCATCCTACAACCTATCCCACTTCATCATCCCATTCATCCCATACTAATTTAAGATTGTTAATTGTTTGTAAATCCTTACTTGATGCTAATTCGTCTAATTTATGTTAGGTTAATCTCCTCTGTTCGGGGTGGCAAAATCCCACCTTCCAGTAACTTGGTATTGATGTGGAAGCCACAATCAGAATATGTTTCAACATTATGCTTTCTGGTTTAGGAATACCAGTTGGCAAAACAAAGAAGCTAAAAACATCTAATATAAAGCAAGGCTTTCATATCACACTCAAAAAAAACCTTATGCATGCTAGTGGTAGCAACTATACAACCAGTAAGGTGTTTTTATTTATGTAGACATTTTATGTATGTTGTGCAAAGTGGGTCCTACTATTCAAAGGGTCTGCAGAAAAATTCAGCCAAAGTCCGATTATGACTTTTGATTTGTCCACTGCGTAAGTATTTTGGTGGGCCTCTTGAAGGGTTGAGTCGTTTGTACATTCCACTGTTCCAGCATATTGATCCTAGCAGGCACTGTTTGATAATAAGGGGTAATGGAACAACCCATAAGGTACAGTTTCACCGGATGTTCCCAATAATTCTTCCAGGGTTACCAACTCTACTATTTCTCCTATTCTGATGTTGTTTCTATGGCTGTGGTCTTCCAAGATCACCACCTTTAAGGCTAGAGTTTTTATCTGCTGATCCATTCCCCTTACGTTGTCCACCATCTTGTTATGGGCCTCAATCTGCTCATCTTGAGTTTTTTCTAATTGCAACATCCTCTTTTAACATCAATTCCATCTGTGATGGGGTTATAAGAGCTGTGTCCTTGGTGCTAAGACTTTTCACATCTAAGTTTTCCTGGCATGGCACTATCTCCTCCTTGTGTCCTGTGTCTCAGTGGTTCATCTATTTATTTTCTCATTTTTTAGGTCTTTGCAATGTGGGCTTTACAGTTGGGGAAGAATTGGTGAGTATTAGCCTCAATTTTTTGACCCACTAATGCTATTTTAACCAAGTTCCTCTGGAGCTCCCTTACCATGCGGACACCTCTGTTGCCAGCCGGCCATAATCCCTACACAATTCTAAATCCTCTTCCAAAGAACCATTATTTTACCTTAGAGGCATCTGTTTTTTTCTATTGTAGTAGTAATACATAGTATAGTAGGGAAATTTTGCAATTTGGTTGCAATTTGCCACAGTGGTAAAGTTGCTGTTTTGATGTAATTCCGATGAGCTACTTCCGAATGAATCTTGTTGAACCAATCCAACCAAGATCCGTTTAAAAATTGCAGAAACCCAATTGCTCAATGTGGTTTTAAATCTACTGATGGTGAATAAAGTGAACGATAAAATGTTTTTTTTTAATCTACCTTACAGAAGAGAATTGAGTTAAATGAAAGAAACCATTTAATGAAAATACCTCATTTTATTTAAGCACATACCTGAACGAACAGATTCTTACCATATTGTATTATATAAATGTTTTAAATGCGGTGTTTTGTTGTCATGCCAAATTAAAGGTTTTATTACCTTTCATTTGGCGGTTCACTCTGCTATCACGAACAAAATAATCTTTTTGTCAGCGTGGAACATAAGTTAATTTTCTACTTTTTGGCACAAGAGGAATTTTAGAACAAGAGCATTAGGTAATCTTAATGCAGCAAGCACAAATATTTCATTATTTTTATTCTGAACTCACCTTTAACCCTGTCTTCATATAAGAAATCAGATAACTGATCAGCAATGTAAGAAACACTTTAATGGAACACACAAACCTGATTAGACATGTTTTTACAAATTTTAGTTGGCATTCTACAGAAACAAAGGATTTAAAGATTAGATAGTGAAATTCTACTCAGAATCTGCTTTGATTTAACCTACTACCTTGCAAGTAAAAACCTATTTTAGTTGCAAAAGAGGCAACCTTCATGCCTTATAATATAATGTGTAAGTATTAATTTTTATTATTACACTTGTTTACAGTGAGAAAACTTGGGTCAGCCAAACGATTGTTCCCAAAAATAGAAAATATTTAATGACATTGGAATTTTGTCCGAATGTCAGTCTGGCTCAGTAAGACTTTGAAACTTAAATTCCAGTTTTTAAATTTATCATCAATAATCCCATCAATCATCTCGTTTTATGGTGTCACAGGTGAATTTCAGAATCACAAAACAAAATGAACATGCATCCACCATTGTGAATTTCTATTGGTTTGTGATTCAAGTACATTTCAGCTCGCAGTTCAGAAATTCAACCAATCCCACGATTGGCCCAAATTCAGACAAACTGTAGTTTGGACCAAAATAAATCTAAGTATAATTATAATGAGGTATAAATGTGAAATAAACATCATTACTTGTTTTTGCAAATATTTGTGAATCTAATCGAATGATTAGTAGCTCAGTGTGCCGTTCATTGGCTGAGAATGGTCAGCTGATACTCTCAGTCAATGAATGTGGATTAGCTTGTAGCTTGGCAGCTCTACAGAAGCAGGAAGCATGTCGTCACGGTGGCAAGGAGACTCGGAATCCAGTAGGGACCCAGGTTAGATAGAAAACCATTACTAAATGGTTTGCCCCAATACCCAATATGATAAAGGCCAAAGTGAAGTGTCGATTTTGTGCCTCTTTGAAGTGAAATATAATATTACATTGGAACCAATTTGTGAACCGAATGTAATTCATGAATGTCACATCACAACATCACCACCACATTTTCATAAAAAATATGTACGCATAACCTTTATTAGAAAAGTAGGATGCATAGCAAATTAGGACATAAAGCATAATTTGGTGAATATTGCTATTTGGAGTTTCTTTAAAATAATAACTTATATTAATTAAAGTACCATATATACTCAAGTATAAGTCTAGTTTTTCAGCACATTATTTGTGCTGAAAAATCCCCACTCGACTTATACTCGAGTCAGTGTCTGTATTATGGCAACTTACATTGCCATAATACAGACCAGGACCGCCAGGCTCATTACAAGCCCGGTGGTCCTGTTGGGGGCTGGCAGATAGCTGTTACTTACCTTCCTGCAGCTCCTGTCAGCTCCCTTCTCCTCCACTGTAAGTCTCGCGGTGTGACTGCCGCGCGGAGCCTTGCCACGGTAATCCGTGGCAACGCTATGACCGCGCGGCTCTCGCGAGACTTGCAGTGGAGCTGGCCGGACCAGTGGAGAAAGGAGCTGCAGGAAAGGTAAGTAACAGCTCTCTGCCAGCCCCCCTCCTACACAGCCCATCCACTGGACCACCAGGGAATAAGAGCCCCCCTTCCTGGCCAGCTAACAAGCAGGGAGCGGGGATGAAAATAAAAATGAAATAATAAAAAAAAAAAATTTTACAATAAAAAATGTAAATATTAAAATTAAAAAAGTAAATAATAAATAAAAAAATACTAAAATAAAAAATTTAAATATTAAAATTAAAAATAATAAAAATGCCCTCCCCCACCCAGTTCACACACAAACACACACTCATACAAACACACCCTCTGCATTGTATACACACACACACTGCATTATACACACACTCATACAAACACACACTCTGCATTATATACACACACACACACTCTCTGCATTCACACAAACACACACACTCTGCATTATATAATGCAGAGTGTGTGTAATGCAGAGTGTGTGTGTGTAATGCAGAGTGTGTGTGTGTATATAATTATAAAAATCACAGAATTTCATAGCCCCAAGTTTTACCCTCGCCTTATCCACGAGGCATAGCATATTTCACAATTGTTGGTCACAAAACTGCACTCGACTTATACATGAGATCGACTTATACACGAGTATATACGGTAATTCGTATTTTAAATATATTCTTTCATTCTTTGCATAAATATGTAGAATAGAACATATTAGTGTTCATAGAGAACCCCTTCTCTAGCAATTTAGGCAGGTTCAGAAAAATAAACAAGAAGGACAAATAGGGCTTTTTTTATATGCAGTGGCTACATAACAAAACAAAAAATACATAAACATAGAAATTACACCGACGGTGAGTTTCTATAAGGATTCTGATGGTATTTTTTGAAAGATATGCAAACTACCAACAACATTGTTTTTTAACGTAATGTATATGTTTGTATAATAAATAATTTAGCATTAAAGTGGAAAAGATAAATGCCTATAGCCATTTCAACCCCCTCTCCTTTTGGCTACTATTCAGCTGTGTAGACAGTGGCCCCCAGTACGGTGTAAGGAACATTCACTAAATATACTAAATCCAAAGTATCCAAGCAAAGTAAATCCAATAGGATCACTTATCTGGTATTGAAGGGATTAAGATTTTTTTTGTATTCCTACCAACTATTAAAGGAGCACTATAGTGGAAGGAATACACAAAATGTATTCCTAACACTATAGTGTTGGACAGGGCCGGCCCAAGACATGGTGCTGCCTGGGTCGAAGGATGAAATGCTTCTTCAATGCTAATCAGTGCAGCCTATTTAAGCAGCAAGTTCCAGGACCTCCTAGCCCTTGCGTGGTTTCCTGTTTCCCAGAAGACTTCTTGTTTACTGTATATTATTGGTTCCTGACTTCTGGCCTTGTTCCTGACTCCTCTTCTCTCCGTTCTCCTGATTCTGACTCATCTGACTACCCGCTTTGGTGCCTGATCCCTGTTTGCCTCCTGGACTTTGCTTTTGGTTTTTCTCATTTGTTGCTATTTATAAATAGGTTTTTTGCATCTACGTTCTGTCTCTGTCTGGTTCCTGGTCCCTAACACAGAGTGAGCGTTGCTGTGGGTTGCTATGGCAAAGCTCCGCGCAGCACATAATGAACGCCTGAGCTTTCCATGGCAACCCACGGCAACGCTCTTGTGGTGTTACGAAAGGAGATGACAGGAATCTGCAGGAGGGGAACATTAGACTTCTGGGCCCCCTCTCCACAGGACAAGGTATATATGCATTGGCAGCCCAGGCTCCACAACAGTCCATTTACAGTGTACAGGGGTTACAAAATGCCACCCCTGTAAAAGTGCCGGGCCTGCCCTGGTGTTGGACTACCTTATAAGGTGTCCGCCCCCCCAGAATGGAGAAAAATATATTTAATTCACCTTTTTGCCATTGCCACGCTGGTCTCACCATGGCTTATCCCCCTTTCATGGCTGAGATCATCAATGCTGTGCCAATCAGCATCTGCTCATAGAGATACTTTCAATCAATGCATCTCTATGGGGAGCATTCAGGGTCTCTATGCAGAGCGTGGATATGCTAAATGTAGGTCCTGCAAAAATTGCAGGACCTAATCCAGGAAGTCCCTCTAGTGGCCGCCTGAGTGACAGCCAGTAGAGGTGTTACTACGCAGCATTGTGAACACCACCTTTTCTCAGAAATGGCAGAGTTTACATTGCTGAGCTTTCAGGGACATGCTACAGACACCAGAACCAGTACATGAAGCTGTAGTAGTTCTAATGACTATAGTGTCCCTTTAACTCCCAAGCTCCATGTCTTTCTCATATTCAAATACATCTTCCATATCTTCATCCATCAACATTTTGAGTTCAGTCAGAATAACTTCAAGAGCCTGAAACAGATAAAGTATGAATACGTTTTAACCACCTTGCACGTACCATAAAAATACCATATAAAAAAACAGGACGATTTCACAGGACAGCATAACTGCAGCAAACATTAAATATTGTACTATAAATTTATAAGTAGAAAACATGTTTTGCACTCGATCTTGAATTTTTACTGTCACATTTACTATAGGGAGAATTGTTGGGAATTCAATGTGAATATAAGGCCAAAAATAGGTGGACTGCAAACATTCTCCAAGTCAGCTTCCAGTTTGACTGTTTTTGTCTAAAACTGGGAATTCATTTCGATTTCCCGACAATTCTCTTTTTAGTAAATAACCTTAAAAGTAATACAGACTATTTATGAAAAGAAGCACTTTTAAATTAAAATGTATGTTTTTAACTGCTAAACTTAACAATGTCATATCATTTAGATGTATCTTTACATTTCCTTCTGCTACTTGGACAAAATCTTTAAACTGAATTATTTCTACCATTTTTTTCAGCAAAATGATAGAACAGCAATCTAGATACACGACAGAGGCTCTGATTCCCAAATTGCCTGCAAGGGACCAGCCTCGCACATTGGATATTGTAATATGTATTAATGTAACTATTATGTAACTAATGTAACTAGAGTACAAGGGACAATTGTTTCAGTTTGCACTAGAACAACTAAATATGTTTAAAAGAGTATGGATCATCTCTTACATGGTGAATGCAAAGTATTGATCACTGTCAATCCGGAGAAAAAGTCGGTGTCAATTTTTTGCTGCCTTAAAAAATTCATACACTGAATTGAGAATTGCCCGGAATTCAAAGCAAATTTAAAATTCAATTCCAACGTCATGTATTTTCCTCCCAATTTCTGTTAATTTTATATGAATGAATGCTAGAATATCCCCCACATCTGTAAACATACCATTCCGCTAACTGCTTTTTGATGCAGAATCTTCATGCTGTGATTTTCAAGGGTAACTTGTTGCCCGTGTTGTATGCGGAGGTGCTGCCTTAACATGATATCTAGCATCATACCTGCAAAGAATGAATCAATATTCACATAACATACAGAAATCTTCATACAGAGGTTAAAAACGGGTCCAGCTGGTATCAACTTTCAATCTATGGTATCACGGGAAATACAAATGTCTCTGATTATATAGTGGATTAAAGGGACCCGGCAGGCTGAAACTTTCTAAATGCAAACTAATATATATATGTTAAAAAAATTGAAATAAAAAAAACACACCTAACTACCTAGCAACTAATTCTAATCCAAAAATACCTATATTGTAGCTGCAATGGTTAAAAGGTTATTCGAAGCATCATAACCACTACAGCCCAGTGTTGTGGTTATGATGCCAGGAGTAACCTGGACCAGTTTCATGGTATGGTGACAATCATTTGCATTCTTACCTGGGTCCCTGCAGGATACCAATTGTCCTCCAGCTGCAGAAGCCAGAAGTTGATCTGTTAGGCCATTCACTGGCTGAAAACATCAGCTAATTGCTCCCAGCCAATAAAAGCACTTATGTGCATTTAAATATAAGCAAAATTAAAATTAGGCAGTCTGGAAATATTGTTTCAGGCTGGTTAATGACGTAGCAATAATCTACGGCAACAGAAAGGTTAAATGAAATGTGCAGCATTTCACAGCAGAGAGCTGCATGCACAGTCTACAGGCACCATGAAGTGGTCATGGTGTTTGGAGTAACCCTTTAAGTAAAAATGCAGTAAAAAAAGCTCACCTAAGAACATTGGTATACGGAAGGATTAATCTCTAGTTTATTATTATGTTTGATATACTTACTGTCTAAGAGGCACAAAGAGACATCTTTGTCAAATGCAATTAACGTCTGTGTCCCAATAAGTCCAACTAAATGCTCCAGTAGAAATGTGTCAATCAAATATTTATTTGCACTTGCTGTTATCTGGGAGTAAAGCAAACATACAATTTTGATATTCACATGATTATAGCTTGTCATTTTAAAACCTTCACCTTTCCATACTTATTTTAATTGATGGTGTACACCCACGCATTCCACATTAAATAAATCTGGATGTTCAGCTCATTGTTCCCTGTATTTTTTCACCACAAACTTAACAGAAAGCATGCGAGAGACTCAAATGGAAACTAGAAGAGTGGAGAAAGCAAATGATGGCGACTTTACTAATACTAAATGCCTCTTGTGGACCAATGTGGAATTGCAAGAGAAATTTACAAAAATAATTGTATGAGATATTTAAATTCTTTCAGAATAAGAGCATCCAGTTAGATGTTTAACAGTTGGCTTTTCTGTATGTTCTCTAATTTTTCTCTTCCTCATGTAGTTTCATTCGCAGTTTTTTGTCCAATTTCGGACACTTTGTCATGTTGTTTTTATTATTTGTGTCTGACTTTGTCATTTCTTTCTACTCCTTATTATCCCTCTTCCCAAAGAAAATCAGAATAAGTTCATAACCTAGGCATATCAGTAAAATTGTTGTTGGATGTGAGTTTACGTACGGCATGTTACAACTATTGCTTCATCAAGGAAGTCATATACGTTTGGAAATAGTTTTACAATGTTTTTGCTTTGCTGAAAGATCTATTTCTGAGATAAACACGGAAGAACGCAGCATTGAAATAATAATGACAAGATGTTAACAACTGAACATACCTAAAGCAAAAGGCAATTAATAAAATATATTCACATAGAAGTCTAAAATATACCACTTTTAAACGTTTTACCTATGTGAGATAATACATAACTATTTCGTTTTTGTTTGTTTGTTTGTTTTTTTACAATCATTCTCCCTGTACCCGTGGACTATACAGGGCTCAGCCACGCTACAGAAAAGGTAGGGGGGATTGGGGAGAAAGAGAAATTAGATGGGGGTGAGAAAGAGAAAGAAGGGGTGAGAAAGAGAAGAAGGGGGGGTGAGAAAGAGAAAGGGGTGAGAAAGAGAAAGAAGGGGGTGATAAAGAGAAAGAGGGGTGAAAAAGAGAAAGAGGGTGAGAAAGAGAAAGAAGGGTGAGAAAGAGAAATTAGGAGGATAAATTAGGGTGAGAAAGAGAAAATAGGAGGGAGGGTGAGAAAGAGAAAATAGGAGGGGGAGAGAAATTGAAATTAAGAGGGGGGGAGAGAAATTAGGAGGGGGGTGAGAAAGAGAAATTAGGAGGGGGGAGAAAGAGAAATTAGGAGGGGGAGAGAAATTAGGAGGGGGGAGAAAGAGAAATTGGGAAGAGGAGAAGGAAATTGGAGCGGGAGGAGAGATTGACATTCATCACATACACACAATGCACCCCTTGCACACAGAAAAACACACAATGCATTACACACACAGACACACATACACAAGCAATGCAACCGTTACACACAATGCATCCCTTACACACACAGAAACACACAATGCATTCATTACACACACTCAATGCACCCCTTACACACATTCAATACATCCCATACATACACAGAAACACACCTTGCAGTCCTTACACATACAAACACAATTTCACACAATGCATTCCTTACACACATATCAGGACATCCCTACACACTCCACCCCCTGTGAACAAACTCATTGGTGGAATATGAAGGTGGACCCTGGGACCCAGACCTTGAGCTGTGTAAAGGACCCCCAAAAAATGGAGCTGCTTCCCGTTCTCCCAGAACATTGATTTTTGTGACCACATTTACAAACCGCCTCCAGAGAGCCTGTTCTGCACCAGACCAGTGGAGCCAGACTGCAGCTAGAGCCCATCATCATCCTCATTTGGTTGTAAGTAGGAAATCTAGTATATTATTCGTGGCACTAAGCTCTAATTTACCTCACATTAAAGAAACACTATAGTCCCCAGAACCTCTTCAGCTTAATGTAGTGGTTCTGGTGTCTATAGCCTGTCCCTGCAGGCCTTTTAATGTAAACACGGCGGCACTGCAGCACTGGCGTTAGTTAACATGGCAAATCATATGGGTGGGGCATTGTGATGTCACATGGGGGGCGGCAAATTTTACTTTTGCCTAGGGCGGCAAAAATCCTTGCACCGGCCCTGGCTGTAGGGGGCTGTGTAAGCTGTGGCCGCACAGTGTCCCATGGTAGTTATGGTGCCATGTGGCCAGTACAGCTCACACAAGCAAACAGCTGATAAACTGGCCGCACGGAGGAAATGTGTATGTGTGACTGTCTGCCTGTGACTGTGTGTGACTGTCTGCCTGTAACTGGGTGTGTGACTGTCTGTCTGTAACTGAGTGTGTGACTGTCTGCCTGTAAATGTGTGTGTGGGGCTGCAGGGATTTTGTAGAAGGGGCGGGGGTTTTGTATTTGGACAGGAGTCTTTATAAGGGGGGGATAAGCAGGGGATTTGTGGAAGGGGGTTGCGGGGGTTTTGTAGATGGGGCAGTACAGGATTTGTAGAAGGGGCAGGACAGAGGTTTTGTAGGAGGGGCGGGCAGGACAAGGGTTTTGTAGGAGGGGCTGACAGCGGTTTTGCAAAGTTTACAAATTGTAAAAAAAAAAGAAAGAAAACCTTTAACATTTTTTACAGGTTTTTTTTTTGGGTGGGGGTGCCAAGCACAGGATCCGCCCCGGGTGCCAAATGCCCTAGGTACGCCCCTGGATCACAGTAGGAATGGGTAATAACATGTTTGTTGAATACGTCTCTTATCTTTTACTAACTTTACAACATTAACCAGTGCGATCTCTATGGAATTCATGTGATGCATAGAGAACCATTTTGACTACATTTTGACATTGTGACTTTGTAGATATTGTAACCTGCTAAATATAACTGTACATTTTAAAAGTCTTATGTTAACTACATGATAACTAATTAGCGATTCAGTTTCGTTCAGCTTTCTAAGTACTATAATTGAATTTTCATTCCAGTAAATTTTGCTGTGAATGTCTTAATTATCCGATGTTTTACCTGGTGCTTTTTGTATTTTTTTTTGGTTTTGTATTTTTTTTATGTATTTTTTTTTAGGTGCCATAGATTTAATAACACATCTTAAAATTTTACTAAACAATTGTTTTTAGTTTTAAAACATGAAGCAAAATTAGGCATTATGTAATCTAATTAGCCTCCATTAGTTAATGAAGTTCCCTATATTTTTTATATGTTAACAATGATTGTTCACCTGATTTTCCTGCAGTACAGACCGTTCATCTTCATGTTCAACAAAGATTGTATGTATTGTGCTTTTCACTTCTTTATCAACAACATCGTTTATAAGATATTGATGGATGTCATCAAGATAAATTTCATCTTTAATTTCTTGTATCTGAAATAAGAGAAAACACGTAATATTTCTAATAATTTTTTATGACATTAAGATTTCCAGGGAGAAACATAGACTGTGACGGCAGATAAGAACCATTCGGCCCATCTAGTCTGTCCAATTTTCTAAATACCTTCATTAGTCCCTGGCCTATCCCACGCATGCTTAAACTCCCTCACTCTGTTTACTAGTACCATGTCAGCTGGAAGGCTATTCCATGCATCCACTAACCTCTACCACTTCAGCTGGAAGGCTATTCCACTACCCTCTTAGTAAAGTAATACTTCCTGATATTATTTTTAAACCTTTGCCCCTCTAATTTAAGACTGTCCTCTTGTTGTGGTAGTTTTTCTTCTTTTAAATGTAGTCTCCACCTTTACTGTGTTGATTCCTTTTATGTATTTCATTGTTTCTATCATATCCCCCCTGTCTTGTCTTTCCTCCAAGCTATACATGTTAAGTTCCTTTCACCTTTCCTTATAAGTTTTTTCCTGCAATCCATGAACCCGTTTAGTAGCCCTTCTCTGAACTCTCTCAGTCTCTAAAGTATCAATATCCTTCTAAAGGTACAATACTCCAAGTGAGGTCTCACCAGTGTTCTGTACAAGGGCATGAGCATATAGGTATACATATCAAGATACGCTTATTACATTTTTTATGTATATTTTGTAATATATTTATAATCTGTTATAAGTTAATGAAAACATTTGATTAGCATATTATACATATATAATACATATATAATTTAATTCTAAGTGTATTTTGGTATTAATTGAATCAACTGTCTGCTATTTTAATACCAAAATACAGTAAGAATTAAATTATATATGTTTTATATATGTATTATATGCTAATCAGGTGTTTTAATTATCTTATAATATATTATACATGTATTATACATGTATAATATAATATTTGAATGTGTTTTACTAACTTTTTTAAAATTTCAGATGCTAGGGGGACTGCCTGAACACTCAGGCAGTCCCCTTGCAGACAGTCTCAGACTGCTTTGCGGCCATGTGATTTGTGACATCTGTCGCGATCACATGGCCAAGGAGGGCCGGAAAGGAAGCAGGGGGACTGCCTATCTCCTAAGGCAGTCCCCACAAGTGAGGATCACCAGTCCAGGTAAGAAGATGGTGGCGGGGAGCGCAAAATCGTTAGAGTGTGCCGCCCTAACGGTGGGGCACTCACTAAATGCGGGGTGGCATAATGCTAAGTTTTATTATGCCAATGAAAAATAAAATTTAAATATATGCAAGGTCCTACACGTTTTGGCTTTACAAAAGCCTTCCTCAGGGACCAATAAAACAAATATACACATTCATAAAAACAATCCTACAATCAAGATAAAAAGTAGCATATAACTCTCCCCTTTTACTATCGTCCCATTGGTGGTTTCGGAACTAACATCAACCTGGGAATTCTAATTTTAGAGTCTTCAAGACAGCTGGACACCTTTGGAAACACCCACGGAACATTGGCATAATAAAGCTTAGCATGTTTCACCTATTACCTGGGTTCTATCTTGCATTCCGTGGTGGTGATTATACCAGAGGAGAAGGATCCTTGGATATACCCCAATACACATATGGGGAGGCACCCTGAGGCGATATTATACTCCTAAATCTCGTGAGTGCATTCTTATCTGGTGCGCACTAATATGTGCTATAACCGTATTGCACTATTGTATTACTTTGTTTTTCATCTGTAGGTAGTCAGCTATATGCTCTATATTCCTGTTTGGCCAAATCTTTGGTAGATAAGAGGTTTGTCAGTTATATATTAACCATTTTTTCTATATATGGGTAAAATAATGGAGGGGACCACTGAACAAATCCTCCTACAGTGAATGGAGGTATGAGCAAGGCATTTGCAGGTGGGTCGATAGCCAGGGTGAATAGGAGGGCAATAATGCCATATCGTCTTCTGGTTATTAGTGGTATGTGGGATTCCCTTTTCATTGTCTTTTTTAGACATTTGAATGAATTGGGTAGATTAATTATTTATTTGGATAATTCTTTTGGAGTAGTGTCATAGATCATTCCTGAGCTAACTGAGACCATTTTAAGGCCCATTGAAATTTCGGCTAGAACACAGAGCTCATTGAGATCAAATTGAAGGTTCAGAGGTTAGTAGATTTAATGAATGTCCTACTCAATTGTGCCTTGAAATTGCATGAAATATAACTATCTATATTTAAAGTGATGAAGGGTAAAGATGATGCTTCATAATGAAGAAACAGAGGCAATAGCTTATCTTTAATCTTAAGATACAGACTAATATTACATCAACTTACCACTGTCGGTAACTCCATTTGAATTATGCTGATGATCATTTCATCCGTAAATTGATTAACAGCAGAATTTAGAATATGGTCCTCTACAAAATCTCTCATTGTTTTTCTAATAACGTTGACAGACAAATCGTTGACAACTTCCAATAGCAGTTCATTGAAGAGCGACTTTGAGAACAAGTCCAATACTGCATTTCTGGGGAATCACATTAAAAGGGGAAAACATTAGATTGCCATTTTAAACATGTATAAAGAAAGGTTTACACCCTTTATAGAGGTACCAGTTTCTCTGGAGGACAAAAATCTATTTCAGGTCGCAATCCCTTTGTTATGGTACCCGATGAGATATAAGGTTAGGTTTCTTTGTAAAAAATTAAGTCATTTCCAAAAAATTGGAGCGCAGTGCAAACAAGTTGCTCTTTTTTCATTGGCACCAAAGGTTATTTGAATATGGTGAAATATCTTACTATTAACTAACCTGATAGAATTCTGCAAATGCAACTATCTAAATATGGGCCCAAGAATGTAAAAATAATGTCTACAAGATGCACACTACCTGTTCAAAGCAAGCGCACCAAGCAACTACTGTACAGGGCATTGCAGGCTGTTATTGAAACCTGCAAAGAATCCCCGTGTGCTTTCCCAGTGCAAAAGAAAACGTACCCTTTTTTGTAATAGAAATGGTTATAGAGCACAAAAAATGACTAAATATAAAGCAATTTAATCCGGCTCCTTCTATATATTTCAATGTACCGTACCGAGCATTCTCAACAATATTTTGTACCTTTTTATTTTACTAATTCATTTGTGTAATCAGAAGTAGATTGCAGGTTATTCAAATGCTTTAGGTTGATGAAAAGAAAAACTTGGTTTGGCAGCTCACATGCGCTGATAAAATGTACCCGGCTGGAATTCAACAAAATATACTTGAAAATGTTGTTTTACTGTATTTCTTGCAATGTGTTATCAGAAAAGGACTGAGATTTTTTTTTTCATTGTATAAATTTCTTTATTGATTTTTTTTAAATAGATACAATATATTCAAACCAGGAAACATACACAGCCAGAAAATGGACTCAGAATTAGACAATGTGCATTTGAGACTCACCTTTTCATGTAGAATTGTCCTGAATTCTTTTAGGATAAAATCTGGTCCATCTCACGTTAATCAGTTTTAATCTAACCCATATTTACTAATCATAACATGAGCCTTGTCTTTCTATCCTTCATATAACCATGTAACCTAGAGTCTACCTTTCCATAGATCACTTAATGTCTAATGAAATACAATAATAAGTCAATTTCTAATCTACCAATAAAAATACAACAAAAAATTATAAACGAAAACATATTCTCAATAACTGAACTTTCATTTTTCCCAAGGGACTTTAGCCATCTTTCTGCACATTTTTTTCATTTGCCTTTCTTAAGAATTCCCATAATTAGGTGTTTCTAAACTTGCTAAATATCTCTTTTGCTCTCCTCAATACATAATACATCTGACCAGCTTTGATTCTTCTCTGTCTCCAAAGTTGCACATTCAAGAAAAATGACCTAACTTTTTACATTTATGGTATAATTATTTTCATGCTGTTCAAGTCTCATTGTTATGTTTATTTCTGTAATTTCTGCAATGTGTACCACCCAATGAGCACATATTGAATCTAGCTCCTCTGAGATTCCTTCTCTTTTGTTTGCCTCGTGTCTTCTCTCCAATTTGTCTTGTAAGTATATTTTTGTGCTGCTCTTTTTACGGCTTGATATTGATGTGTAGATGTTGTGTGGCTCTTTGTACTCTGTTTAACTATTTTTGTAGTTGCGAGCTGTTGTATTTATTTGTGTTAATAATTGATTTAATTTCTTTAGGAAAAGCCAAAACACAGTCGAGCACAGTCAGTTTCAATATATCAACCGACATTTCTATGTTATGTTTTATGGAAACCTTTTCAGAATAATAAGATTATAATTTGTGAAACCTTGCCATTGAAGCATACAAGCTTAAAGGGGTACTCCACTGCCCAAATACAAAAAAATAACTATTTAGCAGGTATATCCCCAATAAAAACTTCTGTGCATTTAATTATGCATTTTTTTCATTTGTGATATATTTCAACACAACTTGGAAAAGCTGCAGATCTCTTGTCTAAAGCTTTTGCAAGCCCTCCCCTCCTAACCACGCCCAGACTTTCTGTGGCTGGCCAATCACAGACTTTCCAATGCAGCTCATTGAGAAGACTTTGCAAGGCAGGTGCTCTGAGCAATTGCTGCCTCTTGAGTTTAGCTCCACTGAGCCAACCAAACCAAGAAGTAACAGGACAGGTTGTCTGATTGACAGCGAGGGGATGTAACAAGGTTAATTCATAAAAGCTCCAATTTCTGTAGAAATATTTGCAAAATAGAAATAAGAGGACATACACATAAAGCACTTAAGCAAGCTAAAGTGCTTTAGGTGCATGGAGTGTTCTTTGAAGAGATTAACAAATATACCACAGTAGGTAGACTAACAGTAAACCTGAGAGCTATACCTGGAGAATAATATTTTAGAAGAACAAGATTTCCAAATTGGTTGTGATATCTATAAGAGAAAAAAAACACCTTCAGGAGGTTTCGATTAACCCATATTAGTAAAGGTCAATCAATACACACAGATTTCTGTAAAGACAACCCATGTTTTATAAAGGAAGTACATCTCACAGTTTCTGCTGATATACAATTTAACTCACACAATTACATTATAATTCACTACCAAAGAAAGTTGTCCTGGCAGATTCAGTCAATATCACTAGAAAACACAAGGTGAAATGTTTCAAACAAAGTGAACATACAGGGTTATAACAATTACATTAAACACTAGTGTATATTGATCCACGGAATAATCTGATAGGCTTTGGAATTGAGGAGGAATTATTTCCCAATTTGAAGAAAACTGAAAACAGTAGCAATGTTGTTGCTTTGTTAACTCTTCTGTGGATTGGTTTACATGGCTTAAACATGATGGCGTGTTTCTTTTTTTCTTAAAGAGGAACTGTCTCAATCCTGGAATCAGGATTTTTAATATTATGTTGACTTTTCCCTGTATTTAACAAATATGAATTTGTGAAGTCTTAAAATAATATTTAGTTAGAACTACACCTCCTGCATTAAAAGGTTACTCCAATCAAAAGGGTGTTTATATAAAACACTGGATTTGTTAAGAGTAGCTCTTTCTATGCTGATCCGTTCCCATCCCCAATTGAAATAAATAAACAAACAAAGGTTAAAGTCACCTCGATCTATTGCTGGAGGGAGAGGGAGGTCAGGAGGGACGGGCTGAGAGGAGGACATGGGCAGCACGGGGGGAAAGGAGAGGGTTACTGTACTGCCATTGGCTGTCTGGCAAATATGTCCTCATTGACATATTTGCACAGGATTTACATTGGCCACTTGGAACCTTTGTTCTGGGCCGGCAATGACATCCCAATGACATGGCCAAAAATGTAGTCACAGCTTGGACAGCAGAGGTATTAAACCTGTATCATCAGTCAGTGTGGTTTAATATAAGAACAGTGACTGAGTCCCACCACACAAAAACAAAAGTTTTAGACTTTAGAAAAACAGACTTTTCTAAAATTAGAATATGTGTAGAGGAGTCATTATCAGACTGGAGCAATTTAAATGGAGTTCTAGAGAAATGGGATTATTTAAAAGTTGCACTATTGAAGGCAACAGAAAATTGCATTAGGCTTGTCAGTAAAAGCAAAACAATTCAAGAAACCACTGTGGTACCTCGCAGATGTGGCCAAAATAGTAAAAAACTAAAAGTTAGCATTTAGTAATTATAAAAAAAATCCAGAGTGAGGAAGACAGAATCTATAAGTTTAGGCAGAAAGAGGCTAAGCAAGTTATAAGAGCTTCCAAATCACACACAGAAGAGAAAATAGCACAGTCAGTAAAAAAGGGGGACAAAACATTTTTTAGATACATAAATGAGAAAAGAAAAGTAAAACAAGGATTAGTTAGATTAAAAACAAAAGAAGGAAGGTATGTAGAAGAGGATAAAGGTCTAGCTGACTGCCTCAATTAATATTTTTGTTCTGTATTTACAGATGAAAATGAAGGAAAGGGACCTCAGTTAAGAAAAAGGATAAATGAGTCATTTATTACACATGAGTTTACAGAGGAAGAGGTTCTATTTCAACTGTCAAAAGTAAAGACAAATAAGTCAATGGGACCTGATGGAATACACCCAAAGCTATTAAAAGAGCTTAGTGGTGTACTAGCAAAACCATTAACAGATTTATTTAACCAATCATTATTAACAGGAGTAGTCCCAGAAGATTGGAAGTTAGCGAATGTTGTGCCCATTTACAAGAAAGGTAATAGGGAGGAGTCGGGCAACTATAGGCCAGTAAGCCTTACTTCAGTAGTGGGGAAAGTGATGGAAACCATGTTAAAGGATAGGATTGTTGAACATCTAAAAACACATGGATTTCAAGATCAGAGACAACATGGGTTTACTTCAGGGAGATCATGCCAAACTAATCTTATTGATTTTTTTGATTGGGTAACTAAAATTATAGATCAGGGTGGTGCAGTAGACATTGCTTACCTAGATTTCAGTAAGGCTTTTGACACTGTTGCACATAGAAGGCTTATCAATAAACTGCAATCTTTAAGTTTGGATTCCAATATTGTTGAATGGGTAAGGCAGTGGCTGAGTGACAGGCAACAGAGGGTTGTTGTTAATGGAATATATTCGAAGCTTGGACTTGTCACCAGTGGGGTACCTCAGGGATCTGTACTTGGACCCATTCTCTTTAATATTTTTATTAGTGATATTGCAGAAGGTCTTGATGGTAAGGTATGTCTTTTTGCTGATGATACTAAGATATGTAACAGGGTTGATGTTCCAGGAGGGATAAGCCAAATGACAAATGATTTAGGTAAGCTAGAAAAATGGTCAGAATTGTGGCAACTGACATTTAATGTGGATAAGTGCAAGATAATGCATCTTGGACGTAAAAACCCAAGGGCAGAGTACAGAATATTTGATAGAGTCCTAACCTCAACATATGAGGAAAGGGATTTAGGGGTGATTATTTCTGATGACTTAAAGGTAGGCAGACAATGTAATAGAGCAGCAGGAAATGCTAGCAGAATGCTTGGTTGTATAGGGAGAGGTATTAGCAGTAGAAAGAGGGAAGTGCTCATGCCATTGTACAGAACACTGGTGAGACCTCACTTGGAGTATTGTACACAGTACTGGAGACCGTATCTTCAGAAGGATATTGATACCTTAGAGAGGGTTCAGAGAAGGGCTACTAAACTGGTTCATGGATTGCGGGATAAAACTTACCAGGAAAGGTTAAAGGATCTTAATATGTATAGCTTGGAGGAAAGACGAGACAGGGGGGATATGATAGAAACATTTAAATATATAAAGGGAATCAACACAGTAAAGGAGGAGACTATATTTAAAAGAAGAAAAACTACCACAACAAGAGGACATAGTCTTAAATTAGAGGGACAAAGGTTTAAAAATAATATCAGGAAGTATTACTTTACTGAGAGGGTAGTGGATGCATGGAATAGCCTTCCAGCTGAAGTGGTAGAGGTTAACACAGTAAAGGAGTTTAAGCATGCGTGGGATAGGCATAAGGCTATCCTAACTATAAGATAAGGCCAGGGACTAATGAAAGTATTTAGAAAATTGGGCAGACTAGATGGGCTGAATGGTTCTTATCTGCCGTCACATTCTATGTTTCTATGTTTCTATGTATGTGCAGCATTTCATAGCAAAACACTGCACGTACAGACTCCAGGCACCATGGCCACTTCAAATCAGTGACTAAGTTATGGTGCTTAGATCAACCCTTTAAGCTTGATTTCTGACTCTCTCTTCTCCATATTGGAGTGATTCTATCTTGGCTTCCTGTCAATATTTATAACATGCTCTGCTCTTTTAACTTGTCAGTCAGCACAGAGAGAGAGCATAGAGAGAGTGGGAGAAACAGAAGCAATGTTTCAATCCTTCAAAGCAATGTGTGCCTCGCCTGTGCCAGGACTGAAATGGATTCTGATGTAATTTGCCAACTCTTTTGTCTACATTTGAAAGAAAAGTAAGCTTCGAACAAAAAAAGGTTAACAATCATTAAGTATTATTCATTTTTGAAAGGATGGTGAAATGTCCCGAGAAGTGATTGTTAATCTAGAGCTCAAATCATCTCTCAGGGTAAATGCTTGTAAAAATGTATGTTCAATGCTATTATTACATAGGGTGCGCATTCTTGGATAAATGCATTTTCATATTCTATTTCCTAACTGTTGCTTAGATTTATTCATTACTGACTATTTATTACTTAAATAGTTGTTTACTGGTTTCTATAAAATAAATGATGTATTTAGGCAGATATGGCATGTTTGTTAATGTGGCACAAGAAAAATGTTCCTTGCAGGAGCATCGTTAATGCAGTGAATTCCTATACATCAGTATCTGTAATACGTGGAACTAATGTCAGATTAAAGGTCACAATGGAATCTATTGCAGCAATAAGTTAGGAAGGAAAGGCCGATGAATGAAAAGCAGTCAGAGTGATATGCAAACATTTATCCGATTCCTTACTGGAAAATTTAACTTATCGCTGGAAAATTACACATGGAGAATCGGATCACATACACATACTTACATATTCAGAGAACCATTCTAAACAAGGTTTTCATAACAATTCTGCACACCCTATTTGATAAAACATTACTTATTGTATATCTGTTGATGTACCAGCTAATAAGAAATAGTAACTACAGCTGACTTAATTACTTGACATTGTTGCAGTAAATAACATAATTTTTTTTATTCACCTGTAATTTAATCAGACACATGCAGTTTGGCGTAATATTAAAATATATATAAATATATATAAGAATAAAGCTGATTATGTGTAATGGCGGTTTATAGGCTCCATTTCATGGTTCAGATTGAATAAACTCCCACCGTTAAAGATTTATGTAAAAGCGATAAATATAGCTTTGAATATAAACATAGCTTTGAATATTGACACTGAATCCAACATTTTACATGCAAAATGATCCCGGTTAAAGTGGCCTTTTTGGATTCAACAATAGGCTCTTCATTTATTAACCAGTGGGGGGACCGTACCCCGCAGCCTCCACCCATGGGCAGCATGTGGGGGCAAATAGTGAAATATAAAAGGGGGTGGACATACCTTTGGCACTGTAAGAAAAATATACACAAGCCCCTATCCCCCACCCCCAAATAAAAACCTACCCTCCCTACCTTAAGGAAGAGATGTGAGACTTACAAACCAGAGCACTTAGACCAAGATTGCATAGCATGGAAAAGTCTTTATAAGGGCTTCTCTAGACATGCAAGTTCAGTCTGTATAGTGCCCTCAGTGGGCAAACATGGATTATTTTAATTGATTCACATTTTTTCTTTACCATCATTTTTTTGGGGCGATATTAACAAGAAAGAAGGTGTCTTATGGAAAGCACATATACACACACACACACACACATACACAAACAAACAAACAGACATACAGACACCCACACACACAAACACACAAACACATATATAGAGATTTAGTGAAAAGGAACTCAAGTTGGGATACTCTAAATACGGAAAATAACTAAGCGGAGCACAAACATAAAACTTGAGCATGGCGATAAAAAATTAGTTTGTCTAAATCAATTTGCCCAATTTTTTTTTTTTTTAATTCACTCGATTTAAGATTCAGCCATGTAGCATTTCGGTTCGGACAAATTTCATCCATGCAATCATTTTAGGGAAAAAACTAACCAAAATGGCAAGAAAATGGCCAATTAGTGTACTGCAAAACATATACATAAAATAAGAAAACAATGCTTATTAATTTATTATACTATATTAACCCCTTAAGGACACAACTTCTGAAATAAAAGGGAATCATGACGGAATATTTCCATCATGTGTCCTTAAGGGGTTAATATATAGTATATATAACTGGATTGGTTTACTACATTCCCATTTCCCCTCTATTGGTTGGAGAAATTGGTGGGCTGTCCCTTAACAATTATTCATCCTTGTGTGCTAGTGAGTGGATCAATTTATACCATATATAAGACAGAAGAAAGAGTATATATATACAAACTGGTTTCGATTTTAAGTGTAACTTCCAGCAATAATGGTATATATGTAAAGAAAAAAGGGAAAAAAAGCAATGATAGTGCAGATTGTATAAAAAATATATAAGCATATATACTTATAACAATTCATAAATTGTGAAGTATCACTTTAAGAAATATTTGGTGAAACCCCAATAGGAAAAGGCTGACATAAATTTATTATCTGCCACATGCAGAAAAAGCAGTACATATATACATAAAATAGAATAATAAAAAATGATGATAAAAAATAGGGTGACAAGCCCCTTACTAGATAAGGTGGTGAGTTTGACACATATATGTCAACTCACTATCAGAGTTCAATCATTAGGGTGGTAGGCTGCTCGTCCGGCGTTCTTCCTGTTCGGCTGCTAGAGAACATGTTATTATTTTTTTTTATTTTTTCTGCTGTGTATCTTTGTGATTTTGTGATTTTATCAATGCCTTTTTGCTGTTTAATTTTGCCATGTTATTTATTTTTCTGCCATGAACAATCCTTTAAAGAGTCTTAAATGAGTCTTTAATGACAGCTGTAGATTTGAATCCAAGTCCCATTAAACTTTATGTCAAGATATTTAGTTAATTTAATTGAACAATTGGACTTTTTCAATTGAATTAGTGATAAACCAATCATGAGGGATTGTTGCCCTATTTAAGCCCACAACCAAGATGAAGGTTGTGAGCACGTCCTGAGGAAGCCGATTGGCGAAACGCGTTGACGTCATACAAAGGGGGAGGAGCTTACAGACCACGGAGTCCGGAGGCGTTTGTTTTCTGGCAGCAGACAATACACGAGGAGATTCTCTAGCAGCCGAACAGGAAGAACGCCGGACAGCAGCCTACCACCCTAATGATTGAACTCTGATAGTGAGTTGACATATATGTGTCAAACTCACCACCTTATCTAGTAAGGGGCTTGTCACCCTATTTTTTATCATCATTTTTTATTATTCTATTTTATGTATATATGTACTGCTTTTTCTGCATGTGGCAGATAATAAATTTATGTCAGCTTTTTCCTATTGGGGTTTCACCAAATATTTCTTAAAGTGATACTTCACAATTTATGAATTGTTATAAGTATATATGCTTATATATTTTTTATACAATCTGCACTATCATTGCTTTTTTTCCCTTTTTTCTTTACATATATACCATTATTGCTGGAAGTTACACTTAAAATCGAAACCAGTTTGTATATATATACTCTTTCTTCTGTCTTATATATGGTATAAATTGCTCCACTCACTAGCACACATTACTTTCTCTTTTTGGTGGAGTTTTGGGATTACACCAGAGTGTGAAGCAATTTTGAAAACAATTTTGAAAATTATTTAGCACCCAGGTTACATCTGTTCGTATTGTAAATTATTCATCCTTTTTGCAATCAATCATGTTTTTTTTTACACCACAGACTGAACTCTAAATCACAAATCATATCAAATGGCTCGTTCATCCCTCATTTTGTTTGTTTTGTGATTTGATCATATAGCATTATGGAAATTCAGAAATTCATGGATTTCAGAAATGCAGACGACTCGCCAATTGCCCAAATTTCATACGAATTGCAAATTGTCAGAAACCAAATGCAAAAGTCTAGAAATCAGTATAAAATAAATATTTCAATGTGAAACTTGGCATATTTCTACCTTCACGAGAAATCATCTTTCCACAAGTTCCAAGCTGGACGTACAAATGAACACAAAAATATATACAAAATCGCCAGCACTTGCCGCCCCCAAAATACATAAACTCTGTATGTGCAATGTAACCATTGTTACGCCACTCAGTACACAATAGCAACCCAAAAAAAGTAATAATTCAGCACACCACTATACATGAAAAATATTCCAATTTTATTGAGGTTCCTCAGCAAGCAGTAATGTTTCGACCTTAGCCTAGGCCTTTAACAAGCTCATCTATAAAGACCAACACTAAAGCTGAAATGTTTCTGTTGAACCTGAATAGAATTGGTTCCTTCTCACGTACAATGAAAATGATTGCAGATGGGCACAGAGAAGGATTAACCATAAGGTAAATCCAGGAGATTGCTTAGAGCTCAGAGGTCCGCAAATGTGCCTGGCCCCATCAACCATACAGATGTGAAGAATGAAGTAACTTGTAACATTCCTAGGAATCTGTGGGTTCTTAATTCTTATATGGTTGAACATCATGCTTCAAACTTCATTCTGCATCTCTGCAGGCAAACTTAGCAACGGCGACTGTTTCAAACACAGCTTTTTATACTATCGATTTGGGTTTTAAGGGTATATTTATCTTGCAATGACATTTATAAACAGAGTTTTAATAAATATTTTATAGTATAAAATTTTACGAGCAACAGGCCCACTTTAATCCTACAGCATTCTGAGTGTTTAAAAAAAAACATCATTCTATAATGCTAGCATGCTTTCTCCACTAGGTGACAGTGTTACTCTCTGTTTACAATACAATTCTACACATATCTGTAGTGTTGTTATTGTAGAATTTAAAGTACTTTCCAAAAGAGGTACTCACCGGATGTTCCTTAAGTCTAGTTATTTTTTTTACAGTTGGGCTGATTGACCTACATATTGTTTTGAGCAAGATGAACATTGGAGTAGATAAATTATGCTTCTGTAATCACAATTGGTATTTTTTAACAGTTTGCACAATGTTTGCAAGTTCTAAAGAAATCTGTCATGTAAGATCAAGTGATTGGAAACTCTACAGGGATGAGTTTAATGAGTCTCTGAATAATGCAGCCATGTGGGCATGCTGAATGGATTACAGCTAAACAGGGGTCAGTGATAATGGATGGGAGATTTTGTACTTTCCTGAATACAAACTAGAACAGTTTAAATAGTGTGTTTCTAAACAAGACAGGTAAATAATGTCAAGCGATGCTTTCAGAATCTTTGGAGTTAGAGCCTATAAATGGTGTTTATCAACAAAAACAACAAATAAGGGTAGAATAATGGTGCAATCTATATACACAAATAAAACGATAGAAATAAATAATAATGAAAGGCAATAAATGTATGGTAAACAAACATGTCACAACCACCCAGTATACTGTTCCCACACACAGAGAGGAGTCCAGATTGAGAGGATGCAGAGAAGGCAAAATGTCAAACAAACAGGGATTATTATTCTCTCAGATCACATACTGCTAATAGATAAGATTAAGGTGATAAATAAGCACCTTTCGTTTGCTCCTACAAGCAAATTTAATTCTTTTTCAGCATATGTGGATGAACAAAATTCCTGAGCTTTATTTTTAAAGAGATACTTTAAAAAAAAAGTAATATCTAAAATTATATTGTTAAAGCTTTGGGCGTATTATATGTGGAATGTTAACATACTAATTGTGAAAAATCTCTCTCTCTCTCTTTATCTCTCTCTCTCTCTCTCTCTATCTATCTCTATCTCTATCTTTATCCATCCATCCACTATACAAAGAAAACAAAACATTTTTTAAGTGCAATTTATTATTATTATTATTATTATTATTATTATTATTATGTAATTTATTAACCGCCATCAAATTCCGCAGCACTTTACAATGGGTGGACGAACAGACATGTAGTTGTAACCAGACAAGTTGGACACACAGGAACAGAGGGGTTGAGGGCCCTGCTCAATGAGCTTACATACTAGAGGGAGTGGGGTAAAGTGAAACAAAAAGGTAAGGATAGTATTAGACTAGTGACAGTTGCAAAAGCAGAATCAGTTGGGAGCTATTAACAGTTTAATTGATACGCTTTTAATGAAGAAGTGGGTTTTTAATGATTTTTTGAAGGAGTGGAGACTGGGTGAGCATCTATTGGAGCAGGGAAGCGAGTTCAACAGGAACGGTGCAGCCCTCGAGAAGTCTTGAAGGCAAGCATCAGAGGTGGGAGTACAGACAGAAGGTAGACTTAAGTCTTCAGCAGATCGTAAGGGCCTAGACGGGACATACTTGTGTATCAGGGAGGATAGATAGGTGGGAGCAGAATTATGTAGAGATTTGAAAGTAAGAACCAGAATTTCAAATTGAGCCCTATATCTTACAAGGAAGGAGTGGAGACTGGGTGAGCATCTATTGGAGCAGGGAAGCGAGTTCCACAGGAACAGTGCAGCCCTCGAGAAGTCTTGAAGGCAAGCATCAGAGGTGGGAGTACAGACAGAAGGTAGACTTAAGTCTTCAGCAGATCGTAAGGGCCTAGACGGGACATACTTGTGTATCAGGGAGGATAGATAGGTGGGAGCAGAATTATGTAGAGATTTGAAAGTAAGAACCTGAATTTCAAATTGAGCCCTATATCTTACAGGCGTGGGAGGCATGGGAGGTGCAGGCGGACAGAAAGATGAGCCTCGCAGCCGCATTCATTATGGATTGTAACGGCACAAGTTGGGAGCATGTAAGACCACTGAGAAGTGGATTACAGTAGTCAAGGCGAGAAAGGACAGTGGAATGGACCAGCACCTTAGTCGCATTTGGCGTTAAGTAGGGTCAGATGCATGCAATGTTTTTGAGATGGAAACGACAGGATTTGGTGATATCTATCTATCTATCTCTATCTCTATCTTTATCCATCCATCCACTATACAAAGAAAACAAAACATTTTTTAAGTGCAATTTATTATTATTATTATTATTATTATTATGTAATTTATTAACCGCCATCAAATTCCGCAGCACTTTACAATGGGTGGACGAACAGACATGTAGTTGTAACCAGACAAGTTGGACACACAGGAACAGAGGGGTTGAGGGCCCTGCTCAATGAGCTTACATACTAGAGGGAGTGGGGTAAAGTGAAACAAAAAGGTAAGGATAGTATTAGACTAGTGACAGTTGCAAAAGCAGAATCAGTTGGGAGCTATTAACAGTTTAATTGATACGCTTTTAATGAAGAAGTGGGTTTTTAATGATTTTTTGAAGGAGTGGAGACTGGGTGAGCATCTATTGGAGCAGGGAAGCGAGTTCCACAGGAACGGTGCAGCCCTCGAGAAGTCTTGAAGGCAAGCATCAGAGGTGGGAGTACAGACAGAAGGTAGACTTAAGTCTTCAGCAGATCGTAAGGGCCTAGACGGGACATACTTGTGTATCAGGGAGGATAGATAGGTGGGAGCAGAATTATGTAGAGATTTGAAAGTAAGAACCAGAATTTCAAATTGAGCCCTATATCTTACAAGGAAGGAGTGGAGACTTGGTGAGCATCTATTGGAGCAGGGAAGCGAGTTCCACAGGAACAGTGCAGCCCTCGAGAAGTCTTGAAGGCAAGCATCAGAGGTGGGAGTACAGACAGAAGGTAGACTTAAGTCTTCAGCAGATCGTAAGGGCCTAGACGGGACATACTTGTGTATCAGGGAGGATAGATAGGTGGGAGCAGAATTATGTAGAGATTTGAAAGTAAGAACCTGAATTTCAAATTGAGCCCTATATCTTACAGGCGTGGGAGGCATGGGAGGTGCAGGCGGACAGAAAGATGAGCCTCGCAGCCGCATTCATTATGGATTGTAACGGCGCAAGTTGGGAGCATGTAAGACCACTGAGAAGTGGATTACAGTAGTCAAGGCGAGAAAGGACAGTGGAATGGACCAGCACCTTAGTCGCATTTGGCGTTAAGTAGGGTCAGATGCATGCAATGTTTTTGAGATGGAAACGACAGGATTTGGTGATAGACTGAACATAAGGCTTGAAGGAAAGGTCGGAGTCAAAGAGAACACCTAGGCAGCGAGCCTGCGTGGTGGAGCTGATGGTAGCACCATTGACTTGGAGGGAGACAGACAAAGGAGGAAAGTCCAGAATTTAAGTTTTGGTCAAGTTTAGTTTAAGGAATTGGACAGGTAGTTTTGTGTGTCTTCTGCATAGAAATGATATTGGAAGCCAAAGGAGCTAAAGAGTTTACCAAGGGAAGCAGTATAGATGGAGAACAGTAGGGGACAAAAGACTGAACTTTGGGGGACACCAACAGAGATGAGTTGGGGAGAAGAAGCAGAGCCAGAGAAAGAAGCACTGAAAGAGTGCTGGGAGAGGTAGGAGGAGCACCAGGATAGAGCAATATCTTGTAGACCGATATTGCGAAGGATGAAAAGAAGCTGTTGATGGTCAACAGTGTCAAAAGCTGCAGACAGGTCAAAGAGTATTAGGATAGAGAAGTGACCACGAGATTTTGCAGCGAGTAGATCATTGGATACTTTGGTCAGTGCCGTTTCCGCAAAGTACTTAGCGCGAAAAACCAGACTGAAGTGGGTCTAGCAGAGAGTTGGACTCAAGGAAATCTGTCAATCTTGCATACACAATTCTTTCAAGGATCTTGGATGCAAAAGGCAGTAACGAGATAGGACGGAAGTTGGATGGGGAGTTAGGGTCAAGGTTAGGCTTCTTTAGAATTGGGGTTACAGTTGCATGTTTGAAATGCGATGGAAATATACCAAAGGAGGGAGAGAGATTGAGAATTTTAGTGAGAGGTGGTGAAAGAGAAGAAGACAGTACTGATTAGATGCGAGGGAATTGGATCTAGGGAGCTTTAGTACAACTGGGTGTGAGAAACCAGAGGAAAGGTATAAAACAAGAAACGCTGAATGTGATAACATAAATCCCTGCTATGCTTAGTGAGAAAGTAACATGGTCATACTGCAAGATCAACAGTCAGAGAGGTCATACCCACACCAGATTCTTTTCCACCTCTCTCTAATTCAGGATGATGTACGTATTGCTGTATATTGAGCCACAATGCCCCAACTACTCGCAGCTTTTGTCACTGGGCCATATCAGGAGTCCTTGCCTTAATCGATGGATCTCCGAATTTATCTATTTATTGTTAGAGGAGTTATTGTTTAGGTGTTATGATGCTATGGATATGTTTCAAACCTCAAATGGAAAATATTATCTGACAGAAAAAGATCTTCCCATATGTGCTAGCAACAGATTATCAAAATACCTATGAATAACAAACTCCTTGGCAGAATGTGAATTATCCTAAAGTGTATAATCCCTCCTATTTAAATTAAGGTAGATGAAAGCTGATTTGTGTAGAATGCTCCCCGTGTTCGGTAATCTGTAACTCCCGAACGCCATTCGTATAGGTGAACTGCAACGAGAACGGGCAATAGGTCCATAGTGACTGGTGTTCGCAGGAGTGCCTGGCTGAAATGAGTTCCGGGAACTCGACGACCAAGTCCCGCTACCAGAGTTCGGGAGACGAAATTGCCGCCATCCGTTGTCCCAACCACGTGCGTTCGCATGCATGAAATGGCAGCCACCCAGTGGAGCATTCTATTAATTATTTCCTTTTACAGGATACTCAACGTTACATGTTCTAATGGGTCTCTGGGGTGGTCTTGGTTCAAGAATCAAACAAAACAAACAAAGTAAAATTAAATATGAATCCGTATGTGCGAAAGGAGCTGAAAGTGATGGGGTATTCTTACACACTACTTTTGCAGCTTTGCTGTTTAAAACAGTGCCATTTATGAGAAAGACAGCACTGTTTACATTTTACACTCCCCTCTTCCACACTAACCGTCAATCAGACAACAGCCAGAAGACCTGGACTGGCCATTGGGTAAACCGGGCAAATGCCCAGTGGGCAGCGATGGTCATGGGCCGAGGCCATCAGATGAGATCAAAGGATCTTCCCTGTTGACCAATGCACAGCCAGCCTTGCTATCTTCCTTCATGGACCAGTGAAGAGATCAAATATCTCCCTCACTGGCTCAGTAGCCCTTTACTGTGGAAATTGAGTGAAGAAGAGGACATGGGAGGCAATCAATATATATATATATATATATATATATATATTTTTTTTTTTTATTTTTTTTTCTCAGTCCCATCTCACTCACCCCCACCCACAATATACAATATAGGCCATATATCAACCAACACTTTCACACATTACCACCCTCACACAATCTGCACCCCAAAATTTTTTTTAATTGTATTTTCCAAAAACAAATCCCATATTCAAAGGATTATGTGAAAATGCCAGAAAACCACACAATTTACAATCAGTTATATATTATTAAGAGTGACTGTTAAAAACGTATTAGGCTGAGCTACGGCTTCCTGGATTTTCTGTCATCCCATAAGTTTTTAGTCTACATAAGAAAAATGCTATTATAGGTAAAGAGGAATGTTGATCTTATCAGAAGAGTGATTTTACTTTTCGTTAATAGTCAAAGATCAATAGTTAATTTTGCCATAATCATGTTAATGGTCCAACCTCCATCACAAAGTAACGAAACCTAAATTACCTGCAGATGATGAAATGTTTCATTCTGTCCTCTCTTTTACCCTTTGCATTCAATCTCCCATCCCGGCCTCAAGGCTCCACCTAAACAATCCATCCCACTGTCAACATACTAAAAATCACATATCTCTTCTCAATTAGTGAAACCTTCCCTTTATCATATTTCCAAGGGGAACACAATGAAACCACTTTAATCGACTTCTCTTACTATATGCATCTGTGTTTCTCTTGTCCCTTGCTAAGGAAACAAAATTGAGATGTAAGTAAGATAGCCAATGTATATTCCATTACTTACTCTGTTTTTTGTTCTTTTCTCGTTGCTTTGTCATATGAATTCTGTGGGTGCACCCTTATCTAAAAATAAAAATAAAACAACACATTAAAAAGAAATGTAATCACATGGCTCCAATGTGTTTACATGGCTAAATGAAAACACAATTTAAAGTGTTAATGACTTTAGTCTTAAAATACTCAGCATGCAAGACTTGCCCTCAGCATAAAAGTTTAAAAATTGCTGGTTTAGAGAGTAGTTCATGTTTAAGTTAATTTCATTATGACTGTGTTGAATACAGCACAGTTTCCATAGCTTGAGAATTAAGCTATATTCATGTATATTTAATTTCTGAAACATACAAAGCCACACATGCACAATGGCAATACAAAGGTTTTCATAAAGATTGATGGTGCCTGAGTTATTTGGATTATTCCCTTAGCTTTCCTGCAGCTCTAGAACTAGAATACATTTTTGTATGTTATAAAAAAACGTAATGTAAGTAAAGACAAATTGGGTTTAAAACATGGAAAAATTAAAATACACATATAGGTGCTAAAATAAAAGCAATTAGGCGTCACATTTAATTACGGTTCTTAGAACACAGTTGTGTATGAGTTCTTCATAATGTTTTGATTATACCTTGTGGTTACTAAATAGTCTTCATCCTGTTTGTATCTTATTTTGCTCTGTCAAGCAAAGTGACCATATGCAACGTTAAAGGCACATCATTGTAACCGCTTTTATAGTGCTACATGCATTGCATTGTGGAGAGAAGGTAAAGTAGAAAGAAATGGATAAGGCTAACTATGAAGGATTCTGACTCTTCTGATCAAGTTAGTCCATGCGTTAGGCAGAAATATTGGGAAATGTAGTATAACAACAGCTGAAGGAACGTGGCTGAATAATCATGTAGAAAATATACAAAGAGGGGTTTTGGTCTTGCACACTAAGCTGATGCCGAATCAATATGTATATATATATTTTTTTTTTTAAGTATATGAACCTCAGTTGTCAGGAATATAATTTGTTTCATACCTGTGTTGCATTATTGGTTAGAGCCTCCATTAAAACATCGGGGATGATTTCACTAAGTAAAATCTCCGACATAAAGGTATCCAAAAACGTCAAAGCAAAAGTTTGGTTCTCTGAGAAGTAATTGAATAGTTCATGTTCCTGTGAAAGAAGAAAAACATATATGTGAAGACACTCATTATCTCATATGTTTCGGTCTCAAAGGGAACATAGAAGAATGCATTGTGAGAGGGCATTTTTTTGTGGATGAAAAATTTCTATGACGCATCACAGAACAAATATAATATTTGATATATCTATGTGACTTTCCCCTTCTTGTAGCTCTACATCTAGGTGATCATTAATAATGATATCTCTTGTTAGGCTCCATCCTAGATAGGCTACTGTATCTCATCCTAATGAGGATGACCTTTAAAAAAAAGCCTTTGATAGCCTTCTGTGTTCATCTTAAATCTAAAATAGGACAATTTCACATGTTGGAGGGGAGTGTGGCAGGAGTGGCTGTCATGTCCACCTCAAGTGAGTTGATTCACTTAGTGTCCAAGTGCAAAATGTGGAGATTCCATATTTTGGCCTCAGTTAAATTATTATAGATAAGCTTTTCAAACAATTTATTATTTTTGGATACAGTTTTAAAATGATTTTTTCAAAATATTAAAAATAAAATCAACAATATAAATATATAAAAAATATAATTAAAAAATATCAAAATATTTTTCAAAATATTTAATCATTTTAAAAGTGTATCCAAAAACATGACATGGAGGCCAATATCTGATATGTTTCTATTTTTGGCCTCAGTTTTATATTTTTGGATAATCTTTTCAAATTATTCAAATCTGTTTACGGGAATCTTATGTTATAAATTATTCGGCAAGTTTTACTAACAATATTGAATCGTTTGCAAAGCGTATCCAAACATATTAAATCGAGATCAATGTCTATTAATCCTCCCAATTACATGAAGGGATCTACACACCCGCGTGTTAACAAAAGAAAAAAGTTATTTTACACACTATGCAAACCTTTTTCTTTTGTTTTTACTGTATTGGGGCTAATGTGCACTATAGTCATTGATGCCACCAACGAGAAGTGGGAGTTTGAACGCAAGGCTTAATTTTGCATGTTTTCACCTAATAACAGTCTGAGGGTCATTAGGGGTTTTCTACTTCTACATATTAAAATCCCCAGTTTCTAGAGGAGTATTTAAACCTATCACTTAATCTTCCAAGTGACTTAATATTGCTTATTCAAACAACTGTTGAACTATCCATATCTAGGAATGGGCCTTTACATTTAAATAGTGCCACAATAGAACCTACTCACATGAAATTTTCCACCACGTAGTATATTCTGAACTTGTCCAAGTTCCCACCAGGGTTTTATGCCCTTGGTTTTGTTAGGGAAGCTACCTATTCTTCTAACTGACTACACTCATTAAAAACATCTGTATTTCAGAGTTGAATCTGAAGAGGGAATCAGGACTTTGGGCAAAGAGTATTAATAGTGGTTAGTGTTTATGCCACCAGTTTGATCATCTCCTTTTCTCAATTCTTCAATGAAATAATAAATTTTTAGCATAATAATTGACGTTTAGAAGAAGATTCAAATTAGTCTTTGGAATATTGTGAATAGAAATGCAAGTTAGACCTTACCAATATGGTAAGTATTGAATACCTTTATGTTCCAGTGTTGATATTTTTTCTTTTCTAAACTGGTTTTGAGGACAAAAAAATTGCCCTTTTGTGTTTCCATCCTAATAAAAATAAAATACAGACCATAACATGTTTAGCAAATATAATACATATTGCTCATTTAAAAGGAATGCTTTGTTCTTTTACTATTAATTTGTGGGATGATGAAATTATAAGGAAGGACTATTGGATACAGGCTGCTTGAATGGACACACTCAGCACCAACATGTTAGCTTAATAAAGTGGTTTTGGTGTATAAATCAGCCATACTTCCCCAGGCTAAGACCAACACAACATCCCTACACATTTCCTGAAAAATAATCTATATTTTTTATCGTCAATATTTCATAGAATGTTTAATTTAAAATTTCTTAACTCTGACTCTGTTAATAGTCTGCTAGCGCCTTCAGGAATCTGTTATACAATTTCCCCTTAACAGAGCAGACAATTATAAACCTTCTCGAGTAAACACACTGAGCTGTATGATTTGATTACCATATTTTTTCAAAGGGGGCTATGTGGATCACAGCCAGGGGAGGTGTGGCTAGAGCTGCAAAATTATTTAACTCCTAAATGGCAGAGAATTGAGCAGTAAGACTGAAGGACATATTCTATACACTAAAATTGCTTCATTATGCTAAAGTTGTTTTATTGCTTAGATTATCCATTTAATGAATGGATTAATCTACATAACATTCATCTTCTTCACATCCCTCTAATGTTGGTGATGTTGCCTGAAGTGACGGAATTAAAAAGTCCTATCAGTAAGCTTGACAATGTTATCTTAGTTGTTTTTTAAAAGGATTATTATTATTTATATAGCGACTGCAAATTCCATAGCGCTGTACGATGGGTATAGCTGATTCATTCTATTCTAATTTATCATTGTTTTCAGTTGTTTCCCACAATGTTCTACATGTAACTTTTGTCAATCAACCAGACATACATGGTAAGCCTGGCCGAGAGAAATTGTATTTAAAGAGTAACTTGAATTAAATTAACCGAGCCTCTCTAAGTAGTTGGTTTACCAAAAATGAAATTACATATATCCCACATTACTAGACGTTGTGTCCCTTGATGTTAATACTATTTAGGAACATATTTTATTAGTTAGTAGGGTGCTTTTAAATAAATTGTATGAGTGCGTTAATAACATGTCCAGTTTTTCCTCTTCCATGGAATACTGTCTTTTTATGTTTATCGAAGTCAAGTCCCTGCATTAGGATATACATCTTCTCTTGAATGTGTTCATCGTTATGATCACCGATGCCATGATGCAAGAATCGTCTCATGAACATGTAAGTTGCTTCAGCTTTCTGCATTGGTCTGCCCAGTCAAATTATCTCAATTCAATTAAACGGTTACTACATGCGCAATGACCACTTCAATTATCTGAAGTGGTTGGAGTCTGTATGTGCAGGTCAAATTCTGCACTTAAGGAGTTTAATCCTTTCGGTGCTAAGGACATTCAAATATCTATTCAGTTTATTCAAAACTTGATAAAAAAATCTTTGTTTATTAAATTAATTTTGGATGACCATTACTCTCTACGTTAATGAATGAATCCAAAAGGTGGCAGTCACAACAACCCCCCTAAAAGAGGATATTCACAAAGCAGTTGTTTAACAAATAAACGAATGGCACCAAGATAAATTCATTCACTGGTCCATTCATTCACTCTGTCGTTTGTTACTATTTCAACTATAATTTGTTTTCAGACTAAATGAATGAAAAACTACATTTTTGTACATTTTTTGATTAGTTTGAAAATGAATGCACACATCTAGTATCCGATCCCTTTAAAAACATAACCCTTTACTGGAAATATTTACTCTTGGGGGTTTGTCTTGTGTGAAAAGGTTTGGCGACCCATTATCAGTAGCTCATTCACCACACTGGTAGATTAGGTAGCTATTTTTTGTTGTTGATGATCCTATCTCCACAGCATGGCAAAAACATATGTAGGGACTGTCATACTGGTACTAAAAGAGTATGAAATGGATGTTTTATGAGAAACATTCATTGGTGAATGTCACATAACTGCCTGCTATTGAAAGGATCAATTATAATTGATATGCAAGGAATTACTTTTTACGCCAGGAGCTCAATTTCTTTATTGTAAGACTCGCAGAAGGCAAAATGTGCCAGTGATATTTTATGGGTTTCTAAATGAAAATGTATATAAATGCATAACTTCATAGAATCCATTAATGCACGCAAATTGAGAGGTTTTGTGGAATCCAGAGGTTCATAGGGAATTTTCAGGGATTTCACCCAAGATAAGAAAGCTATTAATTTTCCAGTTTTCTTGCTTTTTAGCCAGAAATGTAAACCATACCTAGATATCACAGTTATTTACATAATTTGACCACGTATGTAGTTCTGCTTTTAGCTGTTAGACATTAAAAGAATAGTACATTTTAAAGGATGCATTCTTTAAATTGTGTATAAAGGCACTGGTCAGTAACTGTGTCATTCTACAGATCATCCTTGCATATTCATAAATATTGCAAAGTATATTTAATGTGCTAAATATTATGTGTGTGCTTTTACACTTCCAAACCCAGAAGTCGCAAATTCTTCCTTATTTTCTTCCAAACAATTTAACATAATTACACAAGCTTTGTTCCCCCCCACCCCCTGAACATAATAAGTATATAAATTGAATAGTATTTGAAGTAAATAACATCAAATAGAATAGCCATATCTGAGAGGTATTTTTTTTACTCATATATTTTAGCACTGAAGATATCTTAAAATTCTTTCATAAACAATATTTATGACATATGATAGAATTCAATCTGTTGGTGAAAATTAACAGATAGATCATGAAGAAAGGCTATAAGTAGGCATAACAATTCTTTATAGACAGATTTAATTTAGCTTATAACTAGTAGTCCCGGTATATGATAAATTATACATAATTTCTTTCTATTCAACATAAGAAAGGAATGTTGCTACAGTTACCATAACGCGATTGCAGTAGGGTACTGCCTTTTGGAATATTATGGTCCACAGGAAGAGCACATTCATAATCTGACAACATACCTTTTTGCCGCCGGTAGTGGTGGGAGTTCTAGTTTCCATTCCCTGGTAAAAATGTAGTGAAAAAAAACATAGTGAAAAAAAGTAAAATAAACAGGCACTGTGCTATGCACCCCCCCTCTACACAAAATACATAAATCCCTTCTCATTCCTTGTATCCTTTCTACTGCTAACTTACCACCCTTAAAAGCTACCTATCAAGCACTCAAATTCAACTGAATTAAGGCTGATTAGTGAGTTGTCTGAATTTGGTAACTCTGATTTACCATATGGACTTTTAATGAAACAAACGACTCTCGCAATCGACAAGCATTTTTGATTAGTGATTTGGAGTTTTGCCCATGGTACTAAGTACCTGTAGTACTAATATATATGCTTTATATATCTAGAATTTTAATACATTTTTAGACTTCATAGAACAAATATGACAAGCAGTGAGAACTAATTGTACTCTGTTAGTACCGAAGAATATAGCAATGCCCTACATATATATTTGCCATATTTGTGGGCAGTTTGTGGTCCATTATTCGATCTTATAATTTAACTACATTACTACAATATAAATCAAAATATTTATGAACCCGAAAAGGAAATATTTTGAGTGGCATTTATAACTGGATGACTGAATTCTAAAAATGTTTTATTTGTTTGTTCACTTTTTTATTTTTTATAATGCACTGTGGCAATATCACTCGTGTGTAATTCTCTGCTCTGATTAAAACCTCTTAAATCAAAAAGACTTCAACGCAACTGCTTAAGCTATTTATGTATTAGTTTCACCTATGGTAAGAGAGATTTGCTATACAGTGAAAAGATGAGAGATTCTTCACCAACCTTTGAGAGAAATGTCTAACACTTTTTTTATCATTTATTTATAGTATTCTCCCCTGAGGGCTCTAGAATCTGGATGAATCGTCAGTCTGTAAATAGTCAACTGTATCAAAACAAAATTTCCTTTTTTGACAGGTAGACCAATATATATATTTTCAAAATTGTGTGCATGTCATTTAATATTATACCATTTTGTATATTTACGATCGGGAAAATAGATGGGGATATTGTGCTTTGCAGCCCGTTGAAAGAGTGAAAGAGGTTTCAAATTGAACGAAAGGTAATTTACCTGTCATGCCGGTTTCGTAAAAAGCCTTCACTACGATGCTTGTTTCCTTTTCTGATTTGCGCATTCGATTTGGAGACATCCTGTCTGATGCTGGGGTTTTACATGTTAAAAGAGAGAAATAAAAAGACAGAAAGTACAAATATACAATGGTAAACTAATCAAACTCATTTTAGAAGAGATATGGAGAAAGTGCTCAATGTAACGGCCTGTTGAGGGCTACTTTGGGGAATAAATGTCTAAAACGTCACAGGTAAACATGAATTCTATAGCTATTTAGATGCATGGGATAATAAATTGAAAGTGGAAAAGCAGACATAATTTAAAAAGTTATAAAACACCCCAAAAAAATGTTCCTTGAGCACTATATATGTAAGTGATGTGTTTAACAGTTTTTCCATGTTTAAGCTTCACTGTATATGGGACTGAAAGGGTTGACTTATTAAGACCAGTACACAAAGCAGCAGAGACGCACAGGGAGCATCTAGTCTGCACCTCCAGCAGGTGTGTTCCAAAGTGTTCCAGGAAATAATCTAACAAATACAAATTTAGGTTTTTCATAGATCCGACCAATGCCCTCCTTTCCTCCACCCTATCTATGGTGGGTTGTATTTTTTTATCTACCCTGGTAAAAGCTATTATAGTGCAAGGTAAAATGCAAAGGAAAAAAAGCAACTCCTCTTCTTGTAACAGAAATAGGCAGCGGGAACAAACACAGAACTATAAACAATGAACTCAGAGTCAATCAGGGTAGGATTAGATTCTATAAGAGGGTCTGTATAGAACGGTCAGTGCTAAATCACTTTGCTTAAGCATTTTATGGTGGTACAGGGTCTTCAGAAACCAAACTAAGATGTTGCCACATAATTTCAATGGTGATTAATTACTTAATAGATTTCCATGTTTTGCTGTATATTAGCAGTATCCTTGCTAAGTAAAATATTTGGGTTGTGAAAGTATCCTTGGGCTAAGTGAAAGACAGAATACACAGAGTTTAATTTAAGGGCCTGTGTTACAACTGGACAAGAGGACTAAAATGGACTAACTCGTTTCTTGCTCATAGAAATATATAAATAAACATATAAATAAAGAAAACCATGTAAATAAGCATATAAATACACATATCAATAAATAAAAACATATAAACAAACATACATGCAGACCTTTACCTTGGCAAGGGTGGTATAGATGTAGTCTCCTTTCTTTGTTTTGAAGTAGCAGCATTGTCCTGGACAGTCACAGCTAGAAGAGGTTCCCACTCTGCTTGCGGTAAAAGTCCATATTGTTTTCGAACACGAGTGAAGCTGAGATGATAAAAGGAGCAATGACATTCAGTTGTTTGTTAACAATGTTGCAAGGCTACAATAATAACGGAATTCAAAAACCACAATAAATTGTATCAAGGGTACAGTACTGTATTATGCCATCTTTTAATGTAGATGACTTTTACTTTACTGTTCAGAGGAACAGGTTGAAGTTTTACACTAGGACGTCCTGGGTAGTCATTAAATTGTTTGATAGGTTAAGATACAGGACCAAAGTATTTATATATATTTTTTTTTTTCAAGGGTTGACTGCTCATTTTAACAGCTTGGTTCTGTAAGAAAGTCTGGGGGATTAGATCTAACTGAAAATGTGTGACCAAGGAATGACCAAAGGCCTATTTCCCAGCTGTTTTGCATTGATCGAGAGAGGGCTACTGTAATGGTTCCAACAACCAGGGTTGCTCTTATGTCATGATTACACTACTCCCATGTTATCACTGGTTGGTGACTGGTACAGGGAGGCCATGTGTTATCTACAACGTCTCATTACTGAAGTCCTGGTATTGAGTACTTTTTGTGTAAAGTAAAATGGTGGAGATGGAGAAGTAAATTACACGGAAATCCTGCCCCTTCTGTGACATATGTTGTGGCATGAATTTAATTTTGAGTTCTGTCACATACTGTCAGGGTACCTTTGGTGTCTACCTCGGAGGAGGGTAGACACCTAGACGTCCATCCTCCCAGGGGGGCTGACTCACCCGATCCTTGCACTCCTCCCGGTCGTTTACACGCCGGCCGCGATAGCTCCGCCTCCTTTTATGACGCGGCGCTAAGTAGCCGACGTCATGACGGCAATCACGTTCCGACCCGTCAATCACGGCAACCAAGTGCCGAACAACCAATCAGGACCCGTTGGGGGCGGAGCCAACAGTTAAAGAGCCAAGGTATAAAAAAGGGTTCTGTGGAATGATTCATTGCCCTGTCGTGGTTCTAGCTAGTCTGGTCACTCAGTGCAATTACCTCTATTGTCTTTTGGTTCCTGACTCGGCTTGTATTTTGACCCTGCTTTCCTCTCTTGTCCTTTTGACTCGGCTTGTCTCTCGCTTACCTGATCTCTCGTTCCCTCGACCTCGGCTTGTCTCTGACTATTCTTTTGCTTTCTCCTTACGTTAGTCCGGCCATTCTAAGGTCCGGTATACGTACCTATCCCCTGTTTGTATTCTGCGTGTTGGATCCCTGTCACGATCCTGACATTACGACAGGGCCAATGGATCCTGCAGGTACAAACTCTCAGGTCGGTTCTCCTGACTCTAGATTTGAGGCCATGGATCATAGAATGGACCAGATGGCTCTAGCTCTGCAAGCATTGCTATCTCGTCCTAGTAGTCACTCAGAGGAGATGCGTACCCCATCTATCTCTCCTATAAGTACAGGCCTAGAGGTAGCCACAGTGGCTACTTCTTCCCGTGTTACGTCCCCGTCACGCTATGGCGGCGCTCCTGACACTTGTCGAGGTTTTTTAAACCAGATAGGTATTCATTTTGAATTACAACCCCACGCCTACCCTACTGACAGGGCAAAGGTTGGATTTATAATTACCTTGCTCATTGACAAGGCACTTAGATGGGCTAACCCCCTGTGGGAAAATGATAACCCGTTAGTTTATAATTATAATGCTTTTGTCGCTGCTTTTAGGAGAGCTTTTGACCCTCCAGGAAGAAAGGCCAATGCAGCTAGACTACTGTTACGTCTTAGACAGTATAACCGAACCCTAGTGGATTATGCCTTGGAGTTCAGATCCTTGGCAGCAGAGGTCAAGTGGAATGAACAGGCTTATATGGACGTATTTATGAACGGGTTATCTGATGAGATTTTAGATGAGGTGGCCACAAGAGATCTTCCTGAAAATTTGGAGGATCTGATTTCATTTATTTCCCGAATAGATGAACGTATGAGACAGAGGCAGAATATTCGGGATAGAACCCGCAGATCCTCCATAAGACTAGCTCCCTCATTTCAGACTTCTGATTCTACTACTTTAGCTCTCCCCGAACCTATGCAAATAGGTCATACTCGACTCTCAGAGGAGGATAGACAGTACAGGAGAAGGGAGGGTCTTTGTATGTATTGCGGAATTAGAGGTCACCTACGCCTAAATTGCCCTAACCGGCCGGGAAACGCTCGCACCTAAGTTTCTCAAGAGGACAGGCCTTGGGTGTTTCTATCTTGTCCTCTATTTATGATTATAAAGATCATAGGCTTCTGATACCTGTTTCTTTAGCTTGGGAAAAGGGAGTATTTAATGCTATGGCTTTGATAGATTCCGGAGCAGCTGAAAGCTTTATTGACCAAGCCTTTGTCACTAACCATTCTATCCCATCTCAGCTAAGGGATACACCCTTGGCCGTTGAGGCCATAGATGGTAGACCATTATCTGAACCTGTTATTTTTCGTGAAACCATACCAATTAAGTTAACCACTGGTATCCTTCACGAGGAAAGAATATCCCTCATGCTGATCTCATCTCCTTCAGTTCCTATAGTCTTGGGGTATCCCTGGCTTAAGAAGCATAACCCTATCATTGACTGGGAACTGGGTGAGATAGTCTCCTGGGGTCAGGGTTGCCAGAAAGGATGTGTGCAGAAAGTCTCACCAATTTGCAGGGTTGACGCCCCGGTTAACTCTTCCCAACCTACAGATTTACAGATACCATCACAGTACCAGGATTTAAAGGCAGTCTTTGACAAAAAGAGGGCTGATACTTTACCTCCACATAGGTCTTTCGACTGTAAAATTAGACTCCTACCTGGTACTATGCCTCCGAGGGGTACGGTATATCCTTTATCCACTAAGGAGAACTTAGTCCTAGAGGAGTACATACGTGAAAACCTAGACAAAGGTTTTATTAGGAGATCATCTTCTCCGGCCGGGGCCGGTTTCTTTTTTGTAGATAAAAAAGACGGCACTCTACGGCCTTGCATTGATTATCGGGGCTTGAATAAGATAACGGTTAGAAATGCTTATCCTATTCCTTTAATTACTGAGCTCTTTGATCGACTGAAAGGCTCCAAGATTTTTACCAAGTTAGATTTGAGGGGAGCTTATAACTTGGTGAGAATTCAACAGGGAGACGAATGGAAAACAGCTTTCAATACCCGTTATGGCCACTATGAATACACGGTAATGCCCTTCGGGCTTTGCAATGCACCTGCAGTATTCCAGGACCTTATTAATGAGGTTCTTAGGGAATTTCAGCATGAATGCGTTATAGTATATTTGGATGATATACTAATACACTCTAGAGAGATTGAGACTCACCACAGACAAGTCAGAAGGGTACTGCGCAAACTGTTACAACATGGATTGTACTGCAAATTGGAAAAGTGTAGCTTCGACCAATCTCAGATAAACTTTCTTGGCTACGTTATTTCTGGAGACGGATTTAGGATGGACCCCATTAAACTCCAATCGATTTTAGATTGGCCATTGCCCAGGGGACTCAAGGCCATTCAGAGATTTATCGGATTTTCCAATTATTATAGGCGCTTCATTAAAGGTTACTCTTCTATTATTGCTCCTATTACTAATATGACTAGACAGGGGCTGATACCAAGACTTGGTCCACAGAGGCTCTCTCTGCTTTCAAAACTCTCAAGGAACATTTTGCCTCAGCACCGATATTAGTTCATCCTGACACATCTTTGCCTTTTTTACTCGAGGTTGACGCCTCGGAGACAGGTATAGGCGCTATCTTGTCCCAAAGGCTAGGTTTGGATAAACCGTTACATCCTTGTGGTTTTTTTTCCAAGAAATTATCTGGGCCTGAAAGTAGATATGACATTGGTGATAGGGAACTGTTAGCGGTCATTATGGCTTTAAAGGAATGGAGACATTTGTTGGAGGGGACATTATACCCGGTTACTATTTTGACTGATCACAAGAATTTGTCCTACATAGGGGAGGCCAAGCGCTTGTCCGCCAGGCAAGCTCGTTGGTCCTTGTTTCTGACACATTTCAATTACGTGCTCACTTATAGACCTGGTTCTAAGAACTCTAAGGCAGATGCATTGTCCCGTCAACATGAACCCTCTACGGTGTCTGAAGCAGCTTTGTCTTCTATCGTTCCTAAGTGTAATATTATTGCCAACACTTGTGTCAGGATACACTCGCCATTGCTTGCTGAGATCAAGAAAGTACAACATCTAGCTCCCAAACCTGTTCCTGGGGATCGATACTTCGTTCCTCCTGAGCTCCAAGTGGAACTGCTGCATTGCTTTCATGACAGTAAAATTGCTGGGCACCCCGGCACACGCAAAACGTGTTCCCTGATTTCTAAAGATTTCTGGTGGCCTTCCCTTCGTAAGGATATAAGGGATTTCGTCAGGGCATGTGCTGTCTGTATGAAGACTAAGCAACCTCACGCGCTCCCTTGTGGACTTTTGCATCCCTTAGAAATTCCCGAGAGGCCATGGTCGTGTTTGGCTATGGATTTCATTGTCGATTTGCCTGTTTCTAAAAGACATACTGTTATTCTCACGGTGATTGACAGGTTTACTAAAATGGCTCATTTCGTGCCCTTGCCTAAACTGCCCTCGTCTCCCGAATTAGCTGAGATATTCGCGAGGGAGATTTTTCGTCTACATGGTATTCCCTCTGAAATTGTTTCTGATAGAGGTTCCCAATTTGTTTCCCGCTTTTGGAAGTCTTTCTGTTCTCACTTAGGCATCAAGTTGAACTTCTCCTCTGCCTATCATCCCCAGTCCAACGGAGCTGCCGAACGCACCAACCAAAAGATTGAACAATATTTGCGTTGTTTTGTTTCTGAACACCAGGACGATTGGGTTGGTCTGATTCCTTGGGCAGAGTTTGCACACAACAATCTCGTTTGTGATTCTACTCGTTCTAGCCCCTTTTTCTTGAATTATGGCTTTCATCCTTCCATTCTTCCGTCGGTTTCCCCTTCCCAAGGGGTTCCGTCGGTTGATGTTCATGTCGCCAATCTGAGAAAGTTGTGGGATCAGACTCGACGAATTCTTCTTCAGAATTCCATGGTGTTCAAACGACACGCTGACAAACGGAGACGGGTGGCTCCGGTTTTTGCCCCGGGTGATAGGGTGTGGTTGAGTACCAGAAACATCCGCTTGAAGGTTCCTTCCATGAAATTTGCTCCTCGTTACATAGGCCCTTACAAGGTTCTGTGTCGAATTAACCCGGTTGCATATCGTCTTGCCCTTCCGCCTGCCCTGCGCATCCCTAACTCTTTTCATGTTTCTTTATTGAAGCCTTTGGTTTGCAACAGGTTTTCCTCCCCTGAGTCCTCCCCTCTCGCTGTCCAGGTTGAGGGTCAGGAGGAATATGAAATCAAATCCATTCTCGATTCTCGTATTTCTCGGGGGAAGTTGCAATATCTTGTTGACTGGAAGGGGTATGGGCCTGAAGAAAGGTCTTGGGTGGTCCATGAAAATGTGCATGCCCCTCGTCTCCTCCGGGCATTTCATGCTCGTTTTCCGTCCCGCCCCGGTTCCTTCCGCCCGGTGGGCGTTTCTGAGAGGGGGGGTACTGTCAGGGTACCTTTGGTGTCTACCTCGGAGGAGGTTAGACACCTAGATGTCCATCCTCCCAGGGGGGCTGACTCACCCGATCCTTGCACTCCTCCCGGTCGTTTACACGCCGGCCGCGATAGCTCCGCCTCCTTTTATGACGCGGCGCTCAGTAGCCGACGTCATGACGGCAATCACGTTCCGACCCGTCAATCACGGCAACCAAGTGCCGAACAACGAATCAGGACTCGTTGGGGGCGGAGCCAACAGTTAAAGAGCCAAGGTATAAAAAAGGGTTCTGTGGAATGATTCATTGCCCTGTCGTGGTTCTAGCTAGTCTGGTCACTCAGTGCAATTACCTCTATTGTCTTTTGGTTCCTGACTCGGCTTGTATTTTGACCCTGCTTTCCTCTCTTGTCCTTTTGACTCGGCTTGTCTCTCGCTTACCTGATCTCTCGTTCCCTCGACCTCGGCTTGTCTCTGACTATTCTTTTGCTTTCTCCTTACGTTAGTCCGGCCATTCTAAGGTCCGGTATACGTACCTATCCCCTGTTTGTATTCTGCGTGTTGGATCCCTGTCACGATCCTGACACATACGAGCTAAAAGAGGCAGCAATCAGGTTCCCACACCACCCACATGATAGTGGATTAGAAGAAGTGAGATATAGAGGAAAATGGAGAAAGAATCAAAAGTGTCAATGTAATGTCAATAGAAAGAGACAGAGCAGGGGGTGTTAAAATACATGACAGACACGCCATTGTTAAAGGGACAGTACAGTCACCAAAACAACTTTAGCTCAATGCAGCAGTTTTTGTGGTTGCAATATCACTGCTTAATTCTCTGCCATTTAGGAGTAAATCACTACAGTTTCTTTCCATGCAATTCTTACCACACTTCTCCTGACTGTGACTGACACAGCCTGCATGAAAAAATTTTTTTTTACATTTTCAATTAGATGTTAACTTGCTTTAATAGTTGTTATTGCTTACTTGGTAAATTGACCTTTAATCACACAAAGGAGGATCTTGCAGGGTTTAGAAGGCTGTTAACAGAGCATGAGATTAGAAATTAGATCTCTATACACAGGAAGAGTTTAGGGAGACTATGCAAATCACATGCAAGGAGGTAGGGCTAGGCTTGCATAAACAAAGTGATTTAACTCCTAAATGGCAGAGAATTGAGCAGCGAGACTACAGGGGTTTGATCTATACACCAAAACTGCTTCAATAAGCTAAAGTTGCATTTGTGACTATGGTGTCCCTTTATGTATCTTCTTAGTCCATGTACATATTCATTTTACACAATAAAAGATACAAAATAATACCTTTCCTGAAGCTCTGCCCATGTTGCAGTGGCTTTACTTGATGCCATTAGTCACTAGAAGAACAATGCATAATGTTATCTCTTTGTATGCTGGAAGTTCAGTTTTGTGTGTATTCAGCATATTGTCATAAAACAGAATATATTTTTCTATGTTAAACATAAACAAAGTTTACTACGTCATACCTCTGGTAGCAGCTTCTAGTTTACATCTTTTAGAAACTATCTAGAAGCCACGGTTTACTCAAATACGATATCTTTGCACATTGTTCCTTAATAAAATGATAATGCGCTGATAGACACATGAAACCCCTTCCTTTGGGCATTAGCTAATCCGTGTATTAGTTATAAAATTATAAACGTGTACTGGAAAAATAAATCATTGTTTGAATCTTGATTTTCAAATTTTAAAAACAGGTATGTCTGTTGTTCTATCACTAAATACAAAGTTTGCAGATCTTTATCCAGATCCAAATCTCTAATCCAAAATTATAGTGATGACAGTTTCTTTTTCGTTGATACACCTGGTTATCGTTGATGATCGAAAGTTACCTTCAAGAAACCATTATTCTGAACAATGATTATTTAAATGAATCAAAATGTAAAAATCAAAAACAAAACGTGCCCTAAGAAAACTAGGGGAATGAGTAACCAGGTGCTTTCCTTCATTGGTCATAAAAAAGGAAATTAACATAAAGGCACTGATAGGTCTTAAATCACAGAAATGCAAATTCATGGTGTGAAAAAAAGCTTAATGTTTCAAGTTCCCCCTACAAAGTGTCTGGAAGAAAACCCCCAGGTTGAAATAAAATGCTGATCTTTTTTATTTCTCACAATTCTTCTGCATTCTTAATATCCTTTTGAACTCCCTTTTATTTATATGGCTATAGACGAACCGTGTCGATTACATGTAAGTGAACATATTTTGATGATTGGTGGGTGGAAATGTTTTCATCATCTTCATGGGAACGTCTGTATTTTCTCGCAGAATTTTCGTTAGCCAATTTCTTTACTTAGCGAGAAAATATCTTCTTAATTTTACACCACCAAACCGCTAACTAAAAATCTGCAACTTGCTTTTTTTTTTTATAATTAATTTTATTTTAGCTCAAAGATAATGTTTCACTTATATTTTTATTTTGCCTAAATCGCGCTCAAATATATTTTAGCTTTTTTTTCAGCAGCAGCAAACGTAGTGCTGCCTGTTCCCAGTCTAATTCTACCATATTTGGTAGGTGTGCAAGTCATCAGCCATTGTATGTTCTATAATTGATAGTTATCCTTTTGTAGTATTTAACCAGTTACAAGAATTGTTAAACAATGGACTGTATAGAATCAATAAGTAAATATGAAAACATTTTTATATAAAATCTTTTTTTTTATCTTTCCTTGAATGGCAAACAATGCCCAATAATCATGACATCCTTAAATAGCATGCTTTTGGCATACGTTATAAAATAAAATTTACTTAGCTATTTAAGGGTTAAACATTCTAACAATATCGGCCAAGGTGCTTTGTCAAATAGCTTTTCTACTTCAAGGATGATCAATCAGTTACGTGAACATGATTAGCAGTCCAATAATAAAATAATCTCCATTAGGGCACTATGCAAATGAGTGAGCAAAATTGGACTGAATCTTTTTAGTTACTTTTTTTTTTAATACACAAATATGTTATTCTGCATGTAGGTAATGTCAAAACACATTGATTTCCTATAAGCTTGTTGATAGTACTTCTTAAAGAGAGATTAATTGTTTGGAAATGCTAATAAAATCACCTTTTCAGGTGTAATGGTTACTGAAGCATTGCTTAAATCTTTTAATTAAATTACATGTTATGAATGGCTTTTCAAATGTTTAGTGGGTTATATATTAATTTCTGACACTTGATATAAATAGTGGTGAAAATCAAATGTGTCGAGTATGCAAAATATGCAACTCATGATATCATTAAAATTGCAATACATCACACATGCCTCTATATAGAATGTAAAATTATGTTTTAGGTCACCCGAGGCCCGCATGTTGAGGGGGCCCATTGGGTGGCTCATGCACTTAGGGCAACCTGATGGCAATATGTCTTCTGGGGCATAGTAAGCACTGTGGCCCTTAAGAAGCGCACTGGGCCGCTTTAAGGAAGTAAGAGCAGGTCACGTATGTCCAGCTAACAGACAGAGCCTCGTGGGAGGCAGAGAGAAGGCTGCACAGACTGAGAGAGCCCCTGGCTCCCAACAGCCTCAGTCAGCAGACTAGACTGCAGGGAAGCCACCCTCCAGAATTCAAAATGTAGGAAACAGGAAAGAAGCTAAACAAAACGCACATTTTACATATGTGTCTGTGTATGTATAATCCATACATAAACATGTTAACATTACTAAATACAACCCTGCAAGGATGGGCAAATGGTAGATTGGTAGAAATGGTAGCTGGCAAAACATTGTGCAAGTTGTACGACAGATGAGGATCTACCGTTTAGCCATCCTTGCTACATGGGGCGGGAGAATGAGTTTCGCACCTGGACCCTTTTTACTTTAATTCTGGCACGAGTCTTTGTGGTGTTCCAGTTCAGATGTATTTTGAGAAAAAAAACAATTACGAAGATATAAAATGGCAAAAAAATGAATATACTGCAACATATAAATATTATATATATAGTTTGCAGTACACTAATAGGCGCATCTTTGCACTAATTGGTCCACAGAAGAAGTAACCAATAGGAGGGAAGAAGAGGAAGACCAGTAAAAAAACACCCACTTATTTATAATCTATATATTTTTTTTCTCCAGCTACTCTTTTTTTTTCTCTCAATTGGTCACTTCTCGCTTAGTTTGTGAATAAAAGCAACATGTAGAAGCTGTCCCCTAACAATCATTTTTTCCCCATCAATGATCTATTGTTGGTACCATGGATGGAATTATCAATCACCAATCTAAAGAAACTGTTGATCCATTGTCTGTTGTGTTTGTTTTGTAATAGCTTTATGCTGTTTCAGAAGTTTGAAGTTTTGGATGAGTCACAGATAAATCAACATCCAGGCAAATTGCGATCGGAGTGAAATCGAATGCACAAGTCCAATAATATTCAGGATGTCAAAACCATGATGCACCTGAGTGGGTTGATGTATTGCTTGTCTGAATTTTAGTTTTTGGAAGAGGGGGGGACTGTCACCATTTTGAATGCTTCCTATTTCTAAGGGTTCCGGCATTTATATTTGTTTTGGTGCTGTGGAAATATTTTTGCTATTCTGTTTTTTTAGCTACAAAATGCAGTTTCACGTATTGGAGTTTGGAGGTTCATTAAATGGGTTAGGACCCTCAAATAAAACAGAACATTTTCACATGGACTCAATGCAAGTGGTAATTTTACAGTCTTTTTAACACACACCGGACCTAGCACGGAGCATTCATTTCTTTTTTACACACAGTTTATTGCTTCGTGCATGCCGAACTATTAACAAGAGCTTTGGAGTGGCTTAAAAAGTTAAATCATGAAAACAACTTAATATTATTCAGTATAACAAAGACAAGTCCATTTTAGCAGACGTGAATAAAATGTCCTGGTCTGGAGAAAGTATATTGTACATCCGCAAGATTTTAATGATGTAACAAATATGGCACAATTTAACTCCCAAATTTTCTCAAAATCCATAGTTTAACGTAATATACAGAAAGCCATTAATACATATATCATTTTTTTTTTCATTTAGACCAACACAATTTCAAAGCGTTCCATAAATTTGATACAAATACTGTACATGGCAAATAAATAACTACCTTTTATATACACGCCACCTAGTGGTATAGATACATTACAAATAAAATACAACATACTAGGAATATATTAGGACATGCAATAAATGTTAATAAGGAACTTGCAAAAACTATATCATCGAGGCAGATAACAAGCTGACAATGTTATTTACTATAACTTTAGTCATATTAAAACATTCAGAACCTCTGTGGCCAGCCAATCTAGCCAAGCTCAGTACAAGAAGACTTTTGCCAAATCTTGTTTTGAGTGCTGCAGGACAGAATTGTCCCCTTCCCAATCAATGTGCCTGGCACAACTGCACCCTCTACCTAATTTTAATCCTTATGCCTTAAAGTGACACTCATTTGCTGTAGTGTTTATGGTAACTGGAATGCCCTGGCACAGTTTTACTGCAAAATATCAATTGTTTTTGAACGGTTTATCAATTTACCTGGGTCCCACTGAGTGCCAGCACTGCACCCACAGCATCTGGTCTTTTCCAGCATGAGGAGGTGAGTTTCACTTTAGATCAAAGCAGAACAAATTCAGGACTGTAATAATTGGCTGCAAGCACTCAGCTAACGCTATCGGCACAAATTTACAGTCCTGCTTTGCGCTAAAGTGACGTTGGGCTTTGTCTGGGCTCGTCTGCTGGAGAATATCGAATGCAGCTGGTGAAACACGGGTATATGTTTAAAACACTGTGACAGCTTTCTGTGGCATGGCGTTTTGCACTCGTGGCACCATAACCACCACAGAGGAATGTGGTGGTTATGGTAGTTGGAGTGTTAGTGAAACAGAAGGTTTATTAATTTCTTTTTTTCTTCCAGACTTTATATTTGTTTAACCCCTTAGCGACCGAGGACGGTTCAGGACCGTCATCGGCATTTTTGCCTTGAGGACCGATGACGGTCCTGAACCGTCTTAACGGTCTCCGTTACTTACCTGATCGCCGTCGTTCCCCCGGCAGTGATCAGCGTGGCTCCGGTTGTGGGGAGACTGCCTGCAGCCCAGACAGTCTCCCCACACTGAATTAGGACCCCCTGTGGCCATGTGATCGCTTAACACAGCGATCACATGGTCACAATAGGTGTCCATGTGTCTGCCTGCAGGGGGACTGCCTGTGCTGACAGGCAGTCTCCCTGCTAGTGTAAAATCAAAAAAATAAATAAAGTTAATGTTAATAAAAAATAAATAAATAATTATATATGTGTATATATGATATATAGACATATATTATATCTATATAATATATGTCTATATATCATATATATATAATGCCATACTAAGTGTATTTTTATATTAATATAAAAATACACTTATAATTAAATTACACACGTATATATAATATATATAATAATTATATATATTGTATATATATATATATTATAAAATATAAATAAGTAATTTAAATTAAATAAAAAAAAATTAAAATAATAATAAAAAAAATTATATATCTATATGAAATTTTATTCTAACTGTATTTTAAAATTAATATATATATATATATTTATATTTATATCAAAATACACTTAGAATGAATTTCTATATATATCTATGTATATAAAAATAAATAAAATAAGAAATATACATATGTCCATATACAAAATTACATAAATAATTATATAAATATACACGTAGACTTCAAATATATAAATATGCATATATATTTAAATTCTACAAGCTTATTTATGTAATAGTTTTACATAATTCAGTAATTTTATTGATTGCAATTTAAGGGACCTGCCTGCCAACCCAGGCCGAAATTCCAGAGAATTGAATTTGCTAGCACTGTATTTTACCCTGTAACGTTCTACGACAACCTAAAACCTGTACATGGGGGGTACTGTTTTACTCGGGAGACTTCGCTGAACACAAATATTAGTGATTCAAAACAGTAAAACATATCACAGCGATGATATTGTCAGTGAAAGTGACCTTTTTTGCATTTTTCACACACAAACAGCACTTTTACTGATGATATAATTGTTGTGATACGTTTTCCAGTTTTTAAACACTAATATTTGTGTTCAGCGATGTCTCCCAAGTAAAACAGTACCCCCCATGTACAGGTTTTATAGCATTTTTGAAAGTTACAAGGTCAAATATATGGGTCAAATATTTTTACATTGAAAATGGCCAGTTTGGTTACGTTGCCTTTGAGAGCGTATGGTAGCCCAGGAATGAGAATTACCCCCATGATGGCATACCATTTGCAAAAGAAGACAACCCAAGGTATTGCAAATGGGGTATGTCCAGTCTTTTAGTAACCACTTGGTCACAAACACTGGCCAAAATTAGCGTTCAATTTAGTTTTTTTACTTTTTTCACACACAAACAAATATGAATGCTTACTTTGGCCAGTGTTTTCGACAAGTGGCTACTAAAAAAGACTGGACACACCCCATATTGAATACCCTGGGTTGTCTACTTTAAAAAAAATATGTACATGTGGGGTGTTATTCAGAGATTTATGACAGATAATAGTGTTACAATGTCACTATTGATAAATTTAAAAAATTTATGTTTTGAAACCGTAATATTCTACTTGTACCTATAGCCCTATAACATGCAAAAAAAAGCATGTAAACACGGGGTATTTTTAAACTCAGGACAAAATTTTGAATCTATTTAGCAGTTTTTTTAATTCGCTTTTGTAGATGAGTAAAAGATTTTTCAAGTAAAAGTCAAAAAACATGTATTTTTTTTTCAATTTTTCATCATATTTTTTTTATTTTTTTTAAATTAAAATACATGAGATTATATAAATAATGGTATGTAAAGAAAGCCCCTTTTGTCCTGAAAAAAACAATATATAATTTGTATGGGAACAGTAAATGAGAGAGCGGAAAATTCCAGCCAAACACAAACACCACAAAAGTGTAAAAATATGCCTGGTCGCAAATGTACAACATCGCAAAAACAGCCCAGTCCTTAAGGGGTTAATTCAATGGGTTCTAGCTCTATTCACTCTGCTGCTTATTAATATTTACACGGTTATTCACTAAAGTGAGATTTCCAAGTGAATTCAGAGTGAATTTCAAATTTAAGGTCAAAATAGCTGAACTGAAAGCATTCTCCAACCATTTATGCTACCAGCTCGGCTACTTTGGCCTTAAATGGGAAATTCCATTTGAATTCACTTGGAATTTTCACTTTAGGGAATAATTGTTAGAATAATTAGTGATGTTGCTACTTTATACATAAAACATGTCACCTTGTATCACTTGTTTAACTGATACAAGATATGGCTACCCTTTGTTGTTAATTCACTGAACAGTGAATTCTGGTAAAAAACAAAACAAAAACAAAAAACATAAAAAATAAAAATGAATAAATCTATAAATTGTAAGTTGTAGGCTAAACTAGCTGATTTGAAAAAAACATCTGAACTGGGGAAAAAAAAGTCCACAATGCAGCTATTTTGGCCTCAGTTTACCAATTCACCAAAATGTATTCTGTATTATTTACAGTATCTCACAGTGTGGCTTTTGGTAATATTGGAAACTAGCTACAGGAAGTAAGGCATATCTATATAGAAACATACAGATAAATATTATTTACTAACCTTTTGTTGAATCGTGGACATGAGTGGCTTTTCCCATTCATCGTGTGAGTAACATTAAACTTGGAATTATTTGATTTTAAGGTATTTATTTCTTCACGCTATGTACAGTAAAATAACAAACAGGTTTTGCATTTCTGGTCTCACTGCCTTGCTGTGTTAGAAAGGCACCTTGCTGCTTAGCAACACCACACCCAATATATAAACTGAGAAAGGAAAGCTTCACAGATATGCAACAGAAGCAGACACACGCAGAGACACAGATATTGTCATAACAATGCACAATACAACATACAAGATCTATATAAATCTATAAAATTATCATTATCAGGATCCACTAAGTAAATAGTGAGCTTTGGTGACAAGACAAAAATATCATGCTCATTTACAGTAAGCAGATCCAGGAATTTTTTACCTGTTATTTTGAAGGCCAGTTCTACAATGACCATTGCTCTCTGCTTAGTGAACAAACCTTACAAGAAATGCAAACATACAAAATGAAGCCCTCCACTCAGACTCCAACTACTCCTAGGCAGCAGCAGCAATGACTATAGTACACGCCAGCCCCAATACATACAATAAAAGAAAATGAAAAAGGTTACTTGCACACTATCGTAGATGACTATGCACGTTTAAATAACTGGAGGGTTTTTAGTATCACTCCAATGAACATTTAAGTGTAAGCTCACCTGCCACATCCCCCAAAAATGCCCCTACATTAAAAGGGACTTATTTAGAAGGAGCATCCCATATTATTCTCAAATAGGAATCCTCACAGTAACTCAACACAGGTGCATTTCGAGGCGATACTGTCGGAATTGTGGGGAATAATTCACATATGTGATATCTCCCCAGTGCATTAGAAGATTGAAAAAATTATGTGTTAATAATAAATAACAAGGCAATCATTGATCGCTGATACAATCTCAAATACAGTATACTGTGTTCACATTATAGCAATGCAAATAAAAACACCCTATTCCATACATATCATAGATTGGTAAAAGTCAATGTATTTATCAAATTCCTAAAATATCTCTCCATCTGTGTTCATCACTGCAAATTATAAGATGGGGGCTGGTGAAAGAGGGGTAGGTGATTGAGCCACACATATTGAGTATGCCCATAGTGAAGTGGTGGGTGATGCTTATTGAACTGAGGCTTACATGTTGAGTTCTTCGTATTTGTATTGATTTCATTACATATAAGGTATTTGCCCACCAAACCTGGAATGTCTTTAGTGTTCTTTTAGTGCTGTCATGCAGAGGACACGAGTTGGTGGTTTGTTTGTTGGCGAGAAGGGGTCTCCATGTCAAATGTATATGGCTCATGCATTCACTTTCTTATGCTAAGGGATGTCATCATGTAGCTTATTCTATGCCTGTATCCCAACTTATTAGTGACTAATGTGTGACCACTTACCTATCATTTCATACAGGTGGTGGAGATAGTCGGGTCTTTGCCCAGGCGAAGGCTTTATCTGTTACATAGACTACATACAATATGCTATTCACAGCTGGTATTGACACTTGTAGCCTCCTTCTGATCGGAGCATCCAGAAAATATGATGTTGGTGACCTTTAAGGACACTGGAATTGCAATGAAATTGCTACATTCTAGATGCAATTAATTCTTGCTGACATCATACATACACGTTTTCAACTAATCTCGAATTCTGCTGCTTTATGTGACATTGTAGCCAGACATATATTGCATTGTCCTTATTTTGTCTCACTCTCTTTAATGTATGTAGCTGGCCTTAATAGATGTAGCTGTATTGGTAAAGGAATCACTGTGAGTCTGTCTATTGCAAGAGCAGGCAAACATAAATATTTCTAACTGTCGACAGACTAGACCATTGGCCTCCAGATGTTGTGTACTACATCTGCCATACTGTTCTTAAAGCTGTAATGTTGTAAAGTATCACAGGAGATGTAGTCCACGACATCTGGAGTGCCGAAGGTTGCCGACCCCTGGTCTAGAGAATGTAGAGTTCTGACACCTTAGACCAGGCTTCCCCAAACTTCGGCTCTCCAGATGTTGCTGAACAACTACTCCCATGATTCTATGAATGAAATAGATAGGCTGGGAATCAAGGGAGTTGTAGTTGAGCAACATCTGAAAGGCCAGAGTTTGGGGAAGCCTGTCTTAGACAAACCATACAAATATAATTAAAATTATACTTTGAGTCAGGATTGTTCTTTTACTTTACTGTTACTAGACTTGCTTAAATACCTATGATCACTTATTTCTTAAGGGCAATCCAAGTAGGTATAGTTATAGTTTGCAATTATTATTATTATTCTTTATCTCATATTTTATCTATTATTTAACTATGGAGACACATAAGAGATAATTATGTTCTGGAGATCAGTTTACCCAGAATGAGAAGCATTTATATCACATAATGGGTGCCTTGTGCGATAATGTTTTGAATGCTGTCTTTATCCAATTGAAAAGTGACAAAGCTCTGTAAAAAAGCACAAAAAACATTGCTCCGAACTCTAATATTTGTAAATGATTTCTCAAGAAGACGAGTTTCTCCAGCCTGAGATATCATATCGGCTCTCACAGCTCCGTTTATGTGATTAATGTAACATCAAAAAGGTAGATAGATTAATCGCTAACAGTATACGGAATATAACCGCAGATCCCGCTGAAAAATGTATAATTTCTTCACTACCAATATCTTTTCTTTTTTGTTCACTCACTCATTTCCTTTTTTCCCCCTAGTTTTTACAGATATTTGAGCACGACACACAAAAAGTATATTATCTTCTCTGTGACAGCTCACTAGTCTTTTTTTGCAAAGCAAAATATTGCAAGTTAAATGCACAAAGCTGTAAATTCATGAATAAATTGGATGCTCAGTAAAAAATCTGACGTAGATACATCTTATTATCCCTTTGACGATGGCAACTTTTTAGAAACGTCCATTTCATTTCATTGGTACCTTGACAGGACGCAGTGAAAATCAAACTAAGCCAAAACTAAACTGTCATTTTTAAATATATGTATTTTTGGGGGGTGAGTTCACACTTAAAATGCTTAATGCTTTAAATGAACAAAGAGACTCATAATTAAAGTGACACTCCAGGCACCCAGACCACTTCTGCTCATTGGAGTGGTCTGGGTGTCAACTCCCACTACCCTTTTATAAACTGCAATAATTACCTTGCAGGGTTAACTCCACCTCTAGTGGCTGTCTACTAGACAGCCACTAGAGGGCACTTCCGTATCCCTAGCACAGATTTTCAGTGCAAGAGCGTCGCTGGACGTCCTCACGCTGTGTGAGGACCTCCAGCGTCGCTCAATTCCCCATAGTAAAGCATTGAAAAGCATTTTCAATGCTTTCCTATGGGGAGCCCTAATGCGTATCCGCGGCATTGCTGCGCATGCGCGTTAGGTCTCCCCGGCCGGCCGGCGGGATCAGTCTCGCCCACCGGCCAACGTAATGCAGAGGAGGAGCGGTGGTGGAGGAAGAAGCAGCGGCGTGGGACATGTCACTGACTCTGGTAAGTGACTGAAGGGGTTTTCACCTCTTCTGCAACCAGTGATTTGGAGATGGGAGGGAGAGGGGACCTGCAGTGCCAGGAAAACAGATTGTGCTCCCGCATCAGAGTAATATCTCCAGTCATTAATAAAATAACATTCTTTTGATAATCACAAATCATTAGTTCTTACCACGCATGTAGATTTAACAGATTGTTTTCCTGGCAGTGGAGAGTCCCTTTAACTAAATTGGTGGAGAGTTAGACTCTACACCTGGAATTTTACTTTGGCCCCTGACTTGTGCTCTGCACGTGTACTCAGAACCTGATGCAATGAGAGATCATGCCGTGTTAAACATATAAAATACACATAAATGGGAAGCAACAACCACTTTAAAGGGACACTATAGGCACCCAGACCACTTTGTCTTATTTAAGTGTAGAGTCCCAGTCTCCCTTAGTCCTGCAATGTAAATCAATGCCGTTCCAGAGAAACTACAATAATTACATTGCAGGCCTAACACTGCTTCTAGTTACTGTCCATCAGAAAGTCACTAGAGGCACTTCCTGCTTGCTAGACAACTTTTGAGGACATACAGCATCAGTTAAATCATCATAGGAAAGTATTGCAGCAATGCTTTCCGATGGGTAGGGTCAAATGCACTCGTACAGCTTGCCGCACATGCGGATGACTTCGGAGGAGTCGGATTGACAAACCAGTGCTGAGGCACATTGGCATTCAAATCTGGTAAGCAACTAAAGGTTTTTTTTAAACCCTTTCTGAACCAGGAGGGGGGTCAAGGGGGTGAAGGGGGAGTGGTGGGCTAGAGGGAACTATAGTGTAAGAATACTGATTTGTATTCCTAACACTATAAAATTATTATTAAGAACACTTACATCTCTAACATAATACAATACATAAGTCTATGTCTTAGGTCATATTATTTGACATTTCATTACATAAACAATGCGTGACATTAGAAATCTTATTAGCGCAAACTAATGCATTAACTTAATATTGCAGGACAAAGTTTCTCGTTTTAGTATTTATGGATAAACCTTTGAAATGATTACCATACTAAAATATTAAAATATTTCATATTTAAAAATGTATTTATATCAAAAATTAATTATTACATGTTAATATTTTTCCCAATATTAAATAATTTGAAAATCATTGAAAAATCATTTGAAAAGCTAATCTAACAATATCATATCAAGTCCTAAGCACCCAGAGAATGGGTCATTTATTTCATATATGCCCCAAAATGTTGACATGATTGTCTGCTCCCGCATCAAAGTAATATCTCCAGTCATTAATAAAATAGCATTCTTTTGATAATCACAAATCATTAGTTCTTACCACGCATGGCGATTTAATTATTCAGTATTTGGACAGCTTTAAAATGTCATTCAGCTGTAACTGGAAAGATTTGATAGGAAATGGCAAGGTGGGTTGCAAAAGTTGCTTAAAGCTTGTAATGAACTGTGCCTAGAAAGACTATTATCACTCTTTGCATACTCCCTCACAAGCCTCCGTACCAGCTACCCCTTTTTCCCAATTCGTTGCACCCTTTTTGAGCTAGTCGGAATGATTAACTTTACCAGCGGGAGTTACTGACATTCTCTCTGGAACTCCAGTCTGGCTACCCTCAGTGCCTCACACCGGTCATT